CCGAAAACATTGCCCTAATGAATTTACGATCTGTCGTGGCCAGTTCTCAGCCAATTGCTTTTCGGCCGGACCGTTCTCCATTGGCCATTTGAGGTCTTCATCGCCGGCCAGCGATTGTGCTCCATGCTGGCCGGTTGCACCGTGCATGTCAGTGGGTTGGTTTGAGGCCAACTGCTACTTACTGCAAGACTGGCCATAATATGTAATTTCAATGATTTGCATACAAAACACTTTTCACCAAACCCAAATGAAAGAGCCAGAAACCTGGGCCATTCCGCAATCCAGTGCTCCAGAGCTCCACAGCTCCATTCCTCCAGCTCCAGCTCCAGTCCAGAATTCAGAGCTCTGACTGAAGCCGAAGCTGAAAATGCGGCAGAAGCCGTGGAATTGGCATGGACAAACAAACACGTTAAATACTTCCGCGTTCGCGGTGCTCCGATGTGGATTGGTAGGATGGGGATGAGGCTGTGCAGATGGAGATGGGAATGGAAATGGAAATGGGGATGTGGATGTGGTTGCCCGTGACTCTACTCCTCCCCTCCGCTGGCCCACTCCCTGATCTCAAAAAATATTCATATTTGTCACGAAGCCAAATACCTAAACAAGTTACACCTGAAGAAACGACAAAGCCAATTTAACTATCTTCAGCAGTGATGACAACGATCTAAATGGAAGCTGAATGAGGTATTTGCCAAATGCTAACTGCAGATGTGGGGATTTTAAAGCTGCATAATGGTTACAGTACTAGGTAGATTTTGTCGAAAAATGTAAAATGGTTAATTTCACACAAATAATATAAGGCATTTTTGAACTATTAATCATTCCCCTACCTATTTAAAAAAGTTATTTTTAAATATTTATATTTGAATAGAACTTATAGAGTGATATATCTAAAAAGATGCTGTTCTATTAAATATTTTTGGATTAAAAACAGTATTTTAAACACAGAAAAACAAAAGCCAATTATCGTAATCGTAGCTATCGGGGATATTTTCATAAGCCTTAAACATGTTTGATACATGTTAATGAATTTGAAAACGACAAAAAGATTTAGGAAAGATTAAAGTGGGCACTGTTTTTGATGCAGGACTATTTAGATAAAAATATGATAACAAGACTATCACGTTTTGAAAAATATTGATTGATTTTATATATCCTCGAAAATGCGTAGGTATCAAGCCAAAAGTCGAAGTTGTCTAAAAACTTGCTCGGCGTTGAAAAAAGGATATATTTGAGCGTTCAACGATCTGGTCATCACTGATGAGCAATTAGAAGGAAACCCGTGCAGGGGCTCTGTTTTCGGGCAGTGTAGAGCCTATTCGGGGGCTGGGACTAAGGCTGTCATGTGGCCAAGCCCAGTTCCTGGACCCGCCGGCCCGAGAATGGGGCCAACCTAATGGGGGACGCTGTCCGGGCAGCTGCGTGCGATTCTGCGAAAGCCGAAAAATTATAATAACCAGTTTGGGCTGCTATTTCTGTTTTTTTTTTGTTATTTCTTACTTTTTTTTAGTTTGCCAAAACCTTCGTTCAATGACCCGACAGGGATAGGGTCCCAAGATGGGCAGAGAACCATGGAAAGGCAACTCTCCGTTTTTGCAAATTCTGCGGCGAAAGTTGATCGGCCACAGAGATGGAGAGCGATCCCCGAAAAAATCCCGAAAAAAAGAAAAGCACATTTAGATTTAACGAGATATTGGACAGAAGTGGGCAAAAGGTACGGAGGCCTTTGCTTTGGCACATGGCCACAAAACTGCAATAAACCAAATGCCGCCAGTGGCCCAAAATGAACAAACAGCAGCAGAATGATGTTTTTTTTTTCTCATTTTGTTTTTTTTTTGTCGGTTGTGTGTCTTCTGTTGAACAAAAATTCCAAAAGCAAATCCATTTTGTTCCGACTTTCATTTCGGAGCAGCGGCAAGCGCTGCACAGTTTGAAGACAATTGTATAAATGAAAGTTTAAGATCTCCGGCGGCAACTGTTTTTGGGCACCTGCATGTGTGTTTGTAGGGCAGTATGAGCATATGAGCTAACGGCAGGGGGCGGGGGGCGTGGCAGATCGGCAGAGCGGCAGCGACAGGTACACCGGCACTCAAGATCGATAGCAGCCAAAAAGACCCGGCACGTGTTGCCCCAAGAGCAAAGCAAAAGCACTTTTTCAATTGTTCACCACTCGTCGATGATCGTGGCCATGATAATGATGCCACCATCGATATTGCTGCTGTGATGTTGCTGTTGCTGTTGCTGTTGCTGTTGCTGCTGCTGCCGTACTGTTGCTGCTGCCGCTGTACTGTTGCTGCTGCTACTTCTCCTGATGATGATGAACATTTCTCCAGTGCAGTGTCTTCGACTTTGCTACGATTTCGATTTACTTTTGCTTTTCATTGTTCCTAATGCGATGATGGCCACTGGCTGCCGGAGAGTTGCCGCCGGAGCGGCTGTTTGTCGAGACATTAATAACAATTTCATGGTTTTTAACACAAAATGCAGACCATCGGAAACTTTTCCATCAATATTTTCTATTGAATATACTTGCAATTTCTCAGTATTTGGTGTTGTTAATTGGATTACATACTGATATATGCAAAAGTCAGAGTAAAGAAAGAAAAGTGCTCGATTCTTTAGGTTTCGCGGTCTTTATTTTTTCAACATCTAATGCTTAGTTTTAGAAAGGATTTAAAAGGCTTTCTTAAATGGAAACTACAAGTTCTTTGTTTGTTTCAATAAAACTTTTTATTCTTTTGGATATAAATGCCAATTTTCTCCAACAGTTGCCTATAAAAACATATGATATTTTTGCTTTCAACTTGTAAATATAAACAAATAAATAAAACAAAAAATGAAATTATTATCAAGCACTTCCTCAGTTTGAAATCATAAACACAGTTAGAATTTGTTACTTTCCTCATTTCAACTTATCTCTTTTGTGTCTCCATAAATGTAATCTACAAGGGTTCAAACCTCTGCCATTTCCTCGATCCCAATCGATTGATTCCATTGACTTCGATTCCATTGCCCCCGCCCGAAAAAGCGAAAAAGCAGAATTAAGCAAGTAACCATGGACAATCAGCGTCAATTATGGCCATGTTCTTATACACCCATCCATATCTATATGCCCGTAATATGCGATTTCGATTCGGGACAATCAACTCTTTTTTTGGTGGAGGAGATTGCTACGCTTCCGGTGCTTGAAATAAATCTTCAAATTAAGATGCTGTCTCCCAGAAAATGCTCGAAAATCGAAGCAATTTATTGTAGTTTTCGCCGAGAATGAGCGAAACAAAGAGGGCAAATATAAAATTGAATGTGAAATCAAAAACGATCAAAAGCGCTTTGAAGTGACCACTTGGCACAATATGCGATGTCTACACCCAACTTGAGTTCTCTCAGTCTTGTTCTTAGTGAGTGCGTAGGTAGTTTGAGGAGTTCCTTAAAATAAAGTTATTTAAAAAAGTGAGATTTATTATTAAATCAGTATAAAAAATCTCCTTCTATTCAAATAAGATATTATGGCTTTTGAAATACATTTCCGATCTCCAAATTGTTATTATGTTGTTATATTTATTATGGTCTCATTTTTTACAATTCTTGTTTTACAATATATAATATTTAAAAACACATGAAATATTGTATATCAAATCAGTTGAAAAGCATTTGTTTCACCAATGTTTTATGAGTGACTATTGAAACATGTGAATCACACGACAAAAATCAAATAACTTTCTTTAGTTTTCCACAACTTTAAGAACCGCCCTCTGAATAATCTGAAAATCTGACAGCAGCAAAACAGTTTGTTTAAAATGAACTCAAATGCGAAAATTACACCCCAAGCGACCAATTTAAAACCATTAAATTATAATTTTAAATTTTAAAGAGCTCGAACGACTTAAAGGGAGGGCCGTCACAGCATTATTCAATTAGGGAAGACGCATTTGTATAGTTTTTGGACTCGACCAAATGGAGTGCGTTGGATCCAGCCATCCCCTCCTTCGCAACTTTTCACTTGGAAGATCATTCTTAGCGTTTCGCAAGGCGATCTCAGTTGCTTGCCTCATTGCGATTGCAACACGGGTTCAACTTCAAGTGACGGAAGTGGATGAACAAAAATCAACTACAGTTACACTTCTTTAAAGGGTATTTTTTCAAGTAGTTAAAAGTATAAAATAAAACAAAATAAATTTTAAAGACTAATGTTTTTTTTGAGTACAATTTTAGCATACAAACTTAATATTTACAAAGGCTTACAACAAAGTTGTATATTAATATTCAAATATTTATTTTCATAATTCAAAAATTAAATTCTAATAAAAATGTTTTTAAAAAAAATATCAAAAGACTTCTGAAAGTCTTTATTTGGTGCAACATTAAAATTATTTTTCAAAGGCTATTAACCTCAATAGATTTAATTCCTTTAGAGTAAGAAAGTTGAACTTAAAAAAATTGAAATCCCTTATGAATGGAGCTATAGAAGTTGGACTGTAAAATAAAACGGTTAATTTGGAACTGAATGCAGTTGCTGGGCAGCCAAGTTGAGATTTCGGCGTGTAGGTGTACAAACGTTTCGCCGTTTATCTCTCTTAATCTGTGCGTTCGCACTCTCTCGGACCTGACACTCATAATTAAAGAAACAAATAAAGCACATTTGCATAGCAGCAGCAGCACGAGAGCAGCAACAGCAGCAGCAGCAACATCAGCGCAGCAGCAACATCACTAGCAACAGCAACAGCAGCAATATCACTAGCAACAGCAACCACATGAAGAGTTAAGACCTCGGCACTTGTCGTGTCTTAAAAAGCTTCGCTGCCTTGACTTTGACTTTGGCCAAAAGCTCTCTTTTCAGCCAAGAGTTCGCCGTTTGTGTTGCTGTTGTTGTTGCTGATGTTGCCGATGTTGCTGCTGTTGCTGCTGTTGCTGCTGCCGCTGATGTTGCTGCTGCTGGCGACTGCGACCGCGGCTGCTTGTCTTGGTTCTTTAAGTCCGTGGCTGGCTGGCTCCTCTTCAGTTCGTTGCTGACCATCGTTACGTGCGGACGTGCCCAGCTCAGCTCATCTCCGTGTGATGTGGCTGCACTTTGCACACCAAAACTAAAGACCTGAGCCCAAAAATTTCAAAACTGAATAGCAAAAGTGCCGCGACGCGAGTGACAAAAAAACCCTCCGCCCCAAAAAACGGTAGCTAACAAAAAAAAATTGCTCAATAAAATACAATCAAAGAAGATTAAGAAAAAGAAGGAAATAATAATAATAATAATAATCGAGGGGTTAGTTTTTTGGAATTGGACTAAGGCGCGGCCATCGGTCGAACAGAGTGTAATTTCAGTTTTCCTGCGCACTCAACACACTCGCCAGGAAAACAAACAAACAAACCAACAAACAAACAGCGAGCGGCCAGATAGACAAACATACATGGGAAGGCAGTCAAGTGAAGACAGCGCAGCGTTCTCCTGTCCAGTTTGCTGGAGAGATGCGGTTGGAGATGCAGTGGCGTGGCAGTGGCAGTGGCAGTGGCAGTGGCAGCAGAACCGAACCGAACAGATGCAGATGCACCCAAAGCCAGTCCAGCTCGGATCTGGCTTTAGACTCCGGCACATGTGGTGCTATGGTGCTGTGGTGCTGGTGGTGCGGTGGTGCAGTCGCCATATTGGGTGCATAACGGTGCTAGAATCGCGCTGCTTTTTTGCCTTGTGTCTGAGTGTCTCGGCCAGAGTCGAACTTAGCCTGGCTCTTTGCAGTCGGCTCTCGTCGTCGTCGTCGGTGCATTGCATCGCATTGCATCGCATCGCATTGATGACGACCGACCCAGCGACCGATAGACCAAGCGCAAAAACCGCAAACTAAAAATGCTGTTCCCCAGCCAGCGACCCGCTCCTCTGCGGTTACCACTGCCAGCCCAACACTTTGCACATGCTGATCGATTGCGGAAGATCTCCGCCATCGCCATCTCCGTCTGTATCTGCATCTGCATCTCCATCAGCAGATATAGCATCTCCCCGGCTGACTGGGTCACAAAATTGAACCGGGCAATTGTCCAGACACGCCCACAGACGCCCCTTGACCAAATGCAAATGATCAACAGCAATTCAAGATTTTGCAAAAGAAAGAATAGCGAAGTTAGGAAAAGTTTACACCTTATTAAAGGCAGTTTATAGATTTATAAAAATATATTGTGTTTTTGTGCTTCACAATTATATTGAGAAAATATGCAGACAAAAAAGAAAAAGAAAAGGTTTACTCAGCTTAAAATGTTTCATTCATAACACGGTCTATTTACCTATTGTTTTAAAAAGTTCCTATTTACTTTAATAAACTTTGCCTTTCAATACTTTTTTAAATAATTGTACATTTGTTGAGAGTTTGAGCTATATCAATCTTAAATGTGAATCATAAAATTATTCTATTGCTAGACAGAAAAATCATCCTTCATAAAAAATTGATTCAAAGATCAATTAAATAATAACACCCAGAAGATTTAATTCATATTTTATGATTTATTAACTACAAATGTGTAATACTTTAAAGTGAATGCTGCCCAAAAACTTCCGTTTTTGACAAACAGAAGAAAACATTCCCAAAACGACTCCCATATTTTTCTCTGTGCAGCAACTAGTTCTCAGGCCATCTCACCTTAGACCAATTTAAATCGAACTCTTAAGCACTGCTCCATTGTCAGCTCCGTTTTCCCTTCCCTTTTTCCCATTTTTTTATTAAGTTATAAAAATGCTGGAGTTAGTAGATGTTTTATATCGGCACAGAGCTCTTTTTTTTTTTCTTCTCAGCCGCCTAACGGTAATGCCCTAGAGCGCCACATTCTCAGACCCAGTCTCGAACTCTTCGGCCCAGACTCATCCATTGCAATAAAATGAAATTTTATAACAGCGGCAGCAGCGAGGAGAGATACAACGACGGCAACAAAAACGTTACCCAAATTCCAAATAAAAAAAACCCACACAAGACACAAAAACGAAGAAAAACAGAGCGAGAGAGAAGGAGAAAGAGAGAGGGAGGGAGATAGACAAAGGTCGTCACAGCAAGTGAAAATAGCAAAAACCGGAGACAAAAAAGTTTAAAAAAACACGAGACAGCGGTCGAGAAAAATAAACGAAATAAGTTGTAGGGCCTAGTGGCCAACAGCTAGGTGGTTCAGGTGTTAATTTCCCATTTTCGGGTTTTTGACTGCCGGCTGCCAAGTTCGCTGCCTAAGTCTTTCGTTTTAAAGTGGAGCGACTGCGCGCCGCTCGAATGCCCATTGAATGCGAATGAGGGGCGTGTGAGCCGCAAGCCGGCCGGTTTGCTTCGCCCGACAACTGCAAAATAATAAAACAGAAATTATTATTATTATTTCCCTCTTTTTTTTGTTGTTAGTGGGGCGCATTTCCTTTACCCCAAAAAACGAAAAAAAAAATTAAACAGAAAAGAAAGAGAAGAAACGTTTTCGTTCCGTTTTTGACCCTCAAAGTTCAGAGTTTAAGTCAAGTCTCCCCTTACCACCGACTCCTTTCCACAGCACAAAACATATATTAACGACTGCAACGAGAGGAGTACCACAAAGCAGCAAAATAACCCAAGACAGTGGGGAAAAATCGAAAGAAAAAAACCAAAAAAAAAAACATACAAAAGGAGGGAAAAGCGAGAAAAGCCTTCCCAGGGAGATAGATCCGAGGCAGCTTCTTGGAGATTCAGAAGCGGCAATGACGGCGACTGCGAGGCAGTCAGCAACATCGAGAAAGCAACCTGCGATCGCAATGCTCAATGGAAACGCTTTTACGGTTAAGCGGCTCTTAGCGGTAAGTCAACTCATCTCTGGCCAAAAAATAAAAAAAAAAGGAAAATCAAATTGCACTCCCCCATACAAAACTGATCATTTGGGGCGTTGCCAATTCAAATCGCTCCAAAAAATCAGCCAAAGCAAATGTTTGTCACCTGGTCAGCTCCATTGTCGAGCACTTTTACGCTTTCTTAAACAAAAGATTCATTTTTTGGCACAATTTTTAGGTTTTTATTTGGCATTGGCGTGGGCACTTCAATCGTGGGCCGCTGCTCCCCAAGTTCTTTTCTCTCGTGTGTAAAGAGCTGTGAAGTCGGCCATTGGGTCAAATTGTAGCTGATAGATGGATGGGCAGGCGTCGAAGATCATGATGAAGTCGGTTCCGTTCGGTTGGGGGTCGCCACTTCACCGGCTGAGTAATGTGGGCAAATTAATCTAATAAAAGGTGGGAGTCTTCTCTGCCTTTTGCTCCACTGGGCCGAACATTATTTCGAAAAAAAGCACAAGATGCCGCATTAAGCTTAGTGAATTATTTGCTTCATAAAATTTCATTGCCCGGCACTTAATCATTATTACTGCGGGAAGAGTCATTATGGGAGTACTATGGGAACTAGTTTGACTATTAATAAACGCTTCTATTGAATTTCTTGGCTATTTTTTGATTCCGGGAAAAAAGACAGATAATAGAGAGGAAGTTCGGTGGGCTTAATTTATTTTATTGTTTCGCTTTTATTACTTGTGAAAGCTAATAATTTTTTATAAGCTAAAATACATTCAGATAATGGAAAAGTCTTGTTAAAGTATTGTTCAAAATCATTTATAAATTTTTGAAGAACTAAAGTAAAGCAAAGAGGTCATATTTATTTTATATTTAGTTAAATTATAATTACAAATATACTTTTAATTTTTTTTAGGGAAGTTAAGAATATACCCAATTTATGTATATTCTTAATATTATTTTTATAAATTCTTTACCGGGGTTTTTCTTTTGCATTTTATATAATTTATACTCTATTTTCACAATATTCAATCATCTTTTGTAATTCAATTAGATTCTCTTATCCAATACACAATCTATTCAATGGTGTTAAACCAACAGAATCCGTTTGGTAGAAAGCAATCGGCCAAGGGCTCCACCGCAGCACTTGACGGAAAATTTCCTTCCACCATTCTTTCCACTTCAGCCAAGGCTAACAAACAATTTATCCGTTTCGATGTTGTTTGTTATTATGTTTCGCTGCCCTGGGCCGGCCCATTCAACCCATTTCGAGCCAAGTGCATTAAGTCTTGGCCATAACCAGAAGAGCCGGAGCGGCTGCATCTGGGCGCTCCACCTGCATTCGGGCCGGCCAAAGGTCAGCAGACGGTCTGGCGCCCGACGATCATTAAAAGAGTACGAAAGTAATTTGTGAAACACGAAAACGTATCTACTCTTTTTTCGCTGCAGCCCGGGTTTGCTGTTCTTTTACGATTCTAAATTACAATGACTGCAGCACTGGCGGCCAGAAAAATATGCCACTGCAACGGGTCTTCATTAGCAAAGACTGGTCGTAAACCCAAAAAACAAAAAAAAGGAAATAAATGGGCAGAAAAATAAATAAGCCAAGTCAGTGCGCCCGGTTGATGAATGGGGTTTTGGCGGCTCGTAGCTTAAAGACTGGCCTTTTGGCCAGGAAGATGAATGGCCGGCCGGAGGATAACAAATGTCCGGGTGGAAACGGCTTGACGGCTATTAGCCTTCTGCCTGCAAATCTTTATTTACCCTTGGCTCTTTTTTTTCGATAGTTGTTAATTCATAGCCAACAACGAAAGTAACTTGGCCCCCAGTTATTGGGTCAAATCGAAACAAACACTCGCCTCTAATGGCCAACACATTCTCGCGGCCCGTCTCTTTATTCTATATAAATAGCAGTGCCTCGTGCTTGAAAGCCTCTCGAAAGCGTAATTAAACAATTTCTTCTCTGTTTATTGACATTTTATTGATGCCGACGACGAGCTTGAGCGGTTTCATTTCATTTCTGGTTGTGCGGCTGTTTGTGAATCCAATTCCGATACTTTTCCCATTCGAGGCCGTGTTTGTATTGTTGCTCCCATTGAGCGATACTCCTCAGTTTTCAATGGCCAAGATCGTCGAGGGTTCGCCGTGGGGCCCGTAGAGCAATGCAAGTGTTGTTTTGACTAGTCAAGCATCGTATGAGTGGCGAACCGATCTCGAGACTGGAGGAAAACACCTCTGAATGGGGATTATATGCTGAAGTTTATTTATTTATTGTTATTTGAAGACCCCAAAGAGCAGTACTAATGGTTTACTGTTCAATAAACCCAATTTAATGGTATTTAATAAACATTTATTTAAACACCAAAATAAAATTAAGGAATAATGTAAATAGAATTTTCACCTTAAGTTTAGCAAACAGTTATATTAATTTAGTTGGTTGATTCTACAGCTTGTTCAGCCATAACAACAAAATGTTAACTTGAGTAATTTCTTTCATTTATAGCTAACAATAACAATATAAATTCATTACATTTAGGTCAATATATTAAACGCTTTCCTTTTATACATTTTGGGTTAATGTACTGTAAATCATATGTGTTTGCTTGAAACTTTGGAAAATGACTTTTCTCACTGGATTCATCTCTTCCACACATCTTAGTAATTTTTTATTGAAACCATTTCACATAACCATTTATCACAATCAAGGCAACACTGCCCACAAAGTTGCATTCCGCCAAATGATCTTAACTGTGGTTTTAATGTCTCAACTTGTACGATTTGCCAAAGAGTTGCGTGTCTGTGGAATTGGAATCCAAATTGGAGAGTTCTTACCAATTAGCTGAGTGCGGGGGAATTCCCCCTTGCGAAGCCGCGGATAACTTTATGTAATCATTGGATTTAATGCGTAAGCAAATTCAAACAGAAATCAGAAAAATAACACCAACGGCGGGGGAGTTCGTAGTCCCGTTTGGCAGTATGCAAAACCCAGAACCAGAAGTGGAGGAGGAGGAACAAGCCCAGTTACCTAACTCGTATCTGTATCTGTTTTGGTTTTGGTTTCGGTTAGGTAATGGCAATCCCAGAGCCGGGGCCGTAATTAATGGCGTGTGGCGCTCATTCGCGATGAGCAGAAAGTACATTGCACTCTGTGTTGGCCACAAAATTCAGCTTATTTATTAGCCAGTTCTAACTGCAAAAGAAACACGGCGAAGAGGGCCAAAAAACATACACGAAGAGTTGGTAGTCGGCAGTTGGTAGTGGGTACCCTTGGCTATGTTGTTTGTTTTTTTTTTTTTAATTATAGATCCCGGGCAATCCCAGCCCCCACCTTGAAATGGGCGTGTGTTCGGTGTTCAGGCAACTGTTAATTTTGTTTTACAACTCGCAGCTCCACTATCTTTATAGCATCTGGTATAACGTTAACTGTGTGTCTGCTTCAAGCAAAAGCCCGCTCGCAGATACAAGATACTTTTACACACATCGCACTTCATTCATAAAAGAAAAAACCGCAGCTCGTCGAATGATCTGCTACGATTAACTACGGATTTTACGGCACTTTCATCGGGCATTTGGCTCACGGGTATTCCGTGTACTCGGGCAATTTGTTCGCCACCTTAACAAGAGACTTCTTGGTCAAGACGGAGTTGGCCAATTTGTTGGCTCATTTCGGTTGAGGCCTCATGCCCGACTTAATGATTGTTTATGCAAAGCTGAGCACCTAATTGAAGGAATTATGTGATGTAATATATAACAGATCAAAGATCTAACCCGTTTGCATAAAGTTCAGGTCGTTAAGTCATTTCTGACTTTTCTAATTCCAGTTCCTTATAAGGAGTTAATAATACATAGAGTTCGGCACTCTTGTGAAGTTAAATGTTATGTTGGATGTTAGATAAATGTGCCAATTTTAAATTGCAGTCCTCACTAATTGTAATTGGGAATAATTTAAGACCACAAACGGAAATTAAGATTAGCTATGAGAATAAAAGGAATTGCTAAATTAGAACCAGTTAGACAATAAATGACTTACTTTTAGTAATACAAAACAGAACATGCCAAAACCCAATTAAAAGAATTTAAGTCTCTTTTAAATGAGAGTTCCAAATTAGAGAGTAGGTTTACATTTCATTTTATCTAGCCTTACAATTTGATTACTCAGAATAATAAAAATGGCAATAAAATACAATTTATCACCAAATCTTTAGCTATACTTAAACTTTTATATAAACTAGACTAATTTTCCGATCCTTCGATACTTTCAGCTGCTAATCATCTTTACAGTTCTGGACGCGAGTCGAGCCTTGGAATTGGGGGACAAGTGCCAGCATGACATGGACTGCACGGATTTCATCAAGGGCAGCAGCTGCTCCGCCCTGGGATACTGCGAGTGCGCCCCCTACTTTGTCCAGTTGGATTCCAAGCGCTGTTTGTCATGTAAGTAGGCAAAGTCAATCTTTGGCTAACCCCAAAGTGGGAGTACAGAATGTTTGCCGGGCAAACAATGGGCGGAGATGTGTGTTTGTCCACAGAAGAACCGTTAGATGCACTCGCTGCGACTTTCTTTACACAGTGAAAACAATTCTTAAATTAGTAATTCAAAACGTGTGAGTCACATGGAATTTAAATTAGTAAACTTAAGCTAAGCAAATTCTACCCGTTTTATTTACTCAAGTTAGTACTTAAACTCGGTAAATAATCTTAGGCATACACACTTGAATAAAGACTCTTTTCAGAATACATTTATGTTGATCTGTATTTGTAAATATTATTAAATAAATACAGAAAATTAACGCATTGTAAAGAAAGTTCTCTTAAGGAAAGTAAAGAACTGACTTTATTAATTGGTTTTTAAAGGATCGTATTCAGAAAATGCCTTGGTATTTATTATCGACCAACATAGTAATTATTTTAAATATACTCATTCATGGACAAACGCACCACGCACAAGTCGTTTATAGTTAATTTTAAGCTCTCGTGCCTCTCGTAAAATCGTTATATTTTTCCAAAGAACGACTTCGTCTGATGGGTCGGTTAAAAATTGAATTAAAGTTGATTTTTAATGATGTTTTTTCTCTTTTATTCCGCCTGCAGCTCAACTCCTGGGCGGCGACTGCCAGCTGAGCGAGCAGTGCTCCATGAAGGTGGCCAATAGCAGTTGCCTGGAGGGGGCATGCCGCTGCGTCGAGGGATTCCTGCAGTTCCGCAAACACACCTGCCTGGGACGTAAGTATCTGCCGATCGCCGGCCAGCTATTGTGGCCCTAATCCGCCAGATACTCCTGGATAATATCATTAGCATTAACTGTTTGGTATGCGGTGTTTGGTGAATTGCAATAAACGGACGGCAGCCGACTAATAATCCCCACTCTGATTGCTTATCATTTCCCCATTTCCCCTGGAATGTCACGCAATGGCCCAGCATGTATTGAGGTTTTCTTTTAGTAGCATAGTAAAATACTTGAAAAGTATGCACTCCTATTTCCTGTTTGCCGTTCGTTAACACTTCGGCTCAGAAGGGGGTTTTCCTTTCGCTGGCACTTGACACTGGCAATTAACACGGGCATAACACTGAAAATGGCTGTGTAACAATAACAATAACAATAACAATGAAAATGCCCCGGCCTAAACAAGACAATCGTGCCACTAATTATACGCATAATTGGTTAATCTTCCAAGAACTGGCTAACAACCTGGTAGAAACCGACCATCTACCATCTTACCAGCCACCACAAACTGCAGATCGTTGAACGTTGAAACACGTTAAATGTAAAATGTAAATGTTTGGCTTCGATCTCTCCCTGCGCGTGTTTTGTGTTTCTGTTTCTGTTTGTGCATTGCAATGTGTGAAAGATACATTTTAAGATACTTGCCTCCTTCCGCGATGCAAGTGAACTCTTCTAGGGCTCTGGGCTAAAAAAGAAATTTGTGACTCATATCAGAGTTTTTGAATAAATCATTGGCATGTGACTCATCTAGTGAGTAAGGAACGCATATAGAAACAAAAGAAACCCAAGCTAAAGTTGAAATTTATGGAGAAACGGTTTTTGTTTAAGCACGAATCATATTATAATAAGCTGATATGCTGAAGTAAAAAAGTTCTGAGCTGACCACTATAATTTAATTTTCCAAGAAAACCTTTTTGTTAATTTAAAGTTTAAAAAACATTTCTAAGTCCCTTACATATTTTATTCCTTATCTTTTTTTTAATCATGAGTTCTCCTTCAGTACTTCCTGGAATTATAGTGACTGCAAATGTAGATTTTAAGCAACGAAAAAGTTGAGCTTAGGTACTTTAAATCACAGCCAGCCCTGCATCGATAGCAATCTAGTTTGAATTCGCTCCACTTCCTTTTGGCACATTGGCGCCAAGTGGCGTTAATCTGATTAGAATGTTGACTAGAATCGAGAGGCCATATGGCGGGGTTAGTCCCGTCCCCCGTCCACCGTCCCCCTCCCCTTTGCCATACATAGACTTCTTTAAAGTTTAAACACGCCAAAAGCAGAGCAATGAGGCACGATCGAGGACATGGAGGCAGTGCAACTGGCGCAGTTCGTGTCATTGCCATTCACCTGATGTTGCAGTATCCCCTCCTCACTCTCAAGTCCCCTCTTTAGCTGCTGACTTAATTATATAGCTTAAGAACTCAATATATATAATATGGGGAGAAGGGGGCGTGGCAGGACAGTTGGCCAAGAGTGAGCATGATATTTAATTAATCGTTATTTTAATGGCAAAGAATTTAGTTGGTCAGGTGTGTGAGGAATGAGAGCAACATACACAGAAATAAATGTTGAGTATATTTGGTAGGATATATTTAGTTTTTATTTTTCACAAAACATACTTGTAAACTAAAATTAACAGGCTTGGATTTTTACTAATTGGAAATGAAATTTGCGAAGGAAACTACATTTTAAGTTTTATTTGGAGACTTTGATGAGGCTTTGATGATTCAATCTCCTCAATGTTTAAGCCTTTTTTGTAATAAATAATTACTTAAATAAGAGAAAGGCTCAGGAATATAAGAGGTAGCTTAAATAATCAGTATTCAATGATGACTTACTTATCGAACAAAGATTCTAAGCAAGTTTTTTAATGTATTTGACAATTTGGTAATAGAGAGAGTTTTTAAATTACCAATTCCTATTGAAATCTCTTGGAAGTTAAACACTTCAGCCTTTATCTATTATCGAATTATGCTAAGTTTAACTGAATATTTTTACCTCTAAATTTTTTCGTGTGTAGCGAGGAATTTGTGGCAAGTGCAAGAAGTGGCGAGCGAGTCATTTATGAGATACTTTCACCAAAAACACAATAAAAGAAAGAGGAGGCGAGAGAGAGGAGTGAACCTTTCACCAGAGACATCCTGCCAGGGCAGCCTTTTCCTGCCCCCTCCAAATAAAAGAGCCCCTTTTGATTCATATCTTTGGCTACTTTACATGGCTAATTGCCTCGACTCGTAATTAAATTGCACTGATTAGCCGCCAATGCAAAAGAAAGTCCAAGAAAGTCCAATTAGTTCTCAGCGCGAAAGAGAAAAAAGTATTTAAAGAGACAGAGAGAGAGAGAGAGGGACAGATCGCTGGAATTCCCGGCGAAAGAAAAGCCAAAACTTTTTTGTATGCAGTTGACAAAAATGCTGCACACATTTGGGATTGGCCATTCACTTCATCCTATCGCCATTTCGCTCAGTCGCGGGTCAAGTGAAGCAAGTGGTGTGCCAGATTTTGTGAGCTTGTCAGGCTTTCCATTTAGCCACTTGTTCCAGTTTCCCATGCACCTTAACCCATCGGGCCCAAGCCCATTCCGGGATTGGCTCATTCGGTTACCCGTTTTTGTTTGGTAGCCAGCCGCTCTTAACGAGCCCCATCCACCATCACTACCAACAATGAGCCACTTCCTCCCATCTCCTCCGATCTTTATGAGTTATGCACATATGACAACCCCCCCTCCCCCTTAGCCATCCCCCCCTACATCTCCAGGCGGCTCTTTAGTCTACTCTACTCTCCCCGTTTCACGGGCTGCGGGAAAAAGTATGCCAAATATATATAGTATAGTATAGCAGAGTATGCGGCGCACAGATAATGAACAGATAGCCCAGACATATGGCCAAACAACGGAGGCTGCGTCGACTGTCAGGCCAGATCGAGATCTTCTGCATACAAAGTTGCAGGAAAAGTGAACCGCTCTGACGTCGCCGATCATCGGGTCCACTGGGGAAAACAGGGAAAATTTCACTGTATATTTGGGGATAAGCCAATCTATAATCTGGAAATTTACAGATTAAAATTGAAATGAAATTTCCTATTAAAAAATCCAAAAGTAAAACATAAAATTGGACAAATGTAATCTCTTGAAAATAACTTCAAAGTCGCAATTTTTATGATTTATTTTTTAAAATTATTATACTATATACTATTTATGATAAAATGTTTATCCCAGTATGTCACATCTTATCGCAATTGAAGTGAACAATTTACACAAACAAAATACATGTGCGCCTTTAATTCATAAGTATATATTCGCTTAGTTATCCGAGATAAAAATAATTCATAAAAATAATTTGCATATTTGAACTTGTGTTTGGTGAAGTTTTCTGCGGCACCCTGTGTCGACTTTTGCCTTTGTGGCATTCCCGACTGTCATTATATAAGGCATAGGAAACTCCCAGCACTTTTCCCCAACAACTCGGGGCACTTTCTTCCTGCCTCAACACCTTCGCAAGAAAAAACAGGGAAAATACTTTCCATTGCGACACCTTGCAACCAAAAAATGGCCAAAATGTAAAGAAAGAAAAGACCAAAAGCAAAAGCCACCGAAAAATTCCATTTCATTTCGCATGACCCACAAAGCCAGCCAGTCAAACTGTGTTAATTTGCGGCTAGAAACAAAAAGAGGAAAAAATACAAAACAATTTTTCTTGAATGGCCATTTCAAACTAAATTGCGCCAAATGCCAAATTGCATGCTAATTATGTGGAACAACAACGGCAGTTAACTTCCGCAAAAAGACAATAATAATTTTCCAAAAACTTCATATTTACTGGTAACATTTCCATATCCAATTCATTAAAACATCTTCTTTGAATTGTATGGCAGTGTTATGGTTATTAAGCTTTTTGTGTGGCAATTGGTAATGCGCCTAATGAAAGTCAACGGCATAAATAGACTTATTATAGCCGCAGGAATGCTGGCGCAGATAGAGATACATTTGTAGCTCAGTATCTGTGCGTGCCAGGCGGTTGACACAGTTTTGCGATTCCGGCCACCGGCGGCGACTTAACCAAAGACAATAACGCCGAGGAAGCTGCCATTTATTTTATGCTGATTTCGATGGAAATTATTGTTTATGATGGGAGCCATCCCGCCGTGCTCTGCATCTGCCCCGAAGAACACTCAGATCCACTGGGCAATTTTCACACGCGTCGTGGAGATCTCGCCGAGCGGCTTCAGCCGTAATCGAAGTGGGTTAGGTTAGCAGTTGCAGTCGTGCAGCGATTCGCATACAACCTGCCACACCAGCTGCCCCAGAGGGGCTGAGGGGCGGGGCCAGCGCTAAGTGGCCGTGGCATTGCCCCCAGACTATCGATCATCGTTTTTGGTGGCCAGCACAGAGGCGTCGGCTCTTGCCCAAGATGGGACAATCATCAGATCTTTGTTTCACTTCAAGAAATGACTTATAAACATGATCAGAGAATAATATAGGTATATTCTCAATTTTATGAAGAGTTTTTGAGTTTTCTTGAGATTTTAATATTAATTGTTTCAAAAATCCTGCACTCCACAGTTTTTGTGGACTTTTAAAAAGTGTTCTAAGAGTTTAAAAACAATTTGTCCTAAGTCTTTTTGTCGTTTGTCATTTAAAAGTCTTAAATAAATTTGTTAAAAAATGGGGGTTATTTATAGAAAAATATAATATCAACAAGATAAACAATGGCGAATTTCTAGAATGCTTTAAAACCCCTGATAATTAGATAAAGATGCCAATTAAATCGTAAAGTAAATATAATAGATTTTTACTTATTTTGCCATAACTATATTTTCTTATAATGTTAAGATCTGTAAATTTTATAGCACTTTAAATATTATTGCAATACAATATCCGAGTGATTTACGACTAGAGATATTTTTCCATGTGCGTCCGCTCCTAATGCTGTTATATAAAAGTGAAAGATGAGGCCAACTGTTCGTTCGGGGTCTGCAGAAACCCCCTTTGAGTCTTCCTGCCTCGCGTTGATTCCATATTGGTGTCAAACTGCGGCAAGACACGTTTGAGCTACTCGCATTTGGAATGGCAGTGGAAATGGCAGAGCGCAGTGTCAGTGTCAGGCGGTGCATTCGTTAAGTATACGCCACGCTGGCCGTATGCCTTTTATGTGCCTTGGAGTCAACCGCTCAACCTCAACCGGTTCCCCAATGGCCAATGCCAGAGTCAGATTCAAAGCCATGGCCTTTTGTGTGATGCCGACAAATGTTGGATTTGGGGCCGAAATTCCCGCGAGAAAAGCAACTCTTTGGCTGGGCTGGGATAAAGGGTATACGGATTTATGATCTCGCTCGGATTCCAGTCCAATTGAATGGCAGCTGGGGTTAATGGAAATGGAAATGGATCTCCTTGGCCAGACACTGCCCAAAGGGCAACTGCAGGTGGCTGCTTTTGGCCAGTGAAATGGTAAATGGCATGTCGCCAGTTGCTGGTTCCAAGTTGCAAGTTGCTGCTTGCTGGTTGCAAGTTGCTAGTTGCTAGTTGCAAGTTGCTGGCAAGCCAAAAACGAAACAAGTGAAAACAAGTTGGAGCGGCAGTCCGGAAAGTGGGTCAGAGCTGAGATTCCAGCGGAGGACAGTGGCAGACACGCAGGTGGCTCAGTCTTCGCAGTCATCGGTGCAACCAACAGTCGCCGTCTCTTTTTAGCCAGTTATCGGCGAGTGGAATGCTGATGAGGAACGGTAATGGGAATGGGCGACGTCACCGACGTTTCAGCGTCATCTTCTGGTTCCCATCTGTTCCCCTTCTCAGCCAGTTATGCACAGAAAGAATGGGGATATCGTTGTGGATATATGTAGAAAAGGAAATTATAGTACTTTACATATAATATTAATGATTTAAAAAAAAGTTTAAAGTAATATCATAACATTTTTACTGACTATCCAACTTGTAATTATAAGAAGTTACCAGGTTACCAATCAAAAAGGCAGTGTGGCCTTGAATTTTAAAATTAGGTCAAAAATAGGACATTTAAAAAAAAAGAAAGTAATTTGATTTTTGATACTTTTTATACACAAGGAAAACCTTTTCGGTAAACACTTACAATAAAATATAGTTAAAATATTTGTAAATTTTTGCTTATAAAAATTTCCTCAAAAGTTATACAGTTTCGAAGAATTAATAGGGGTTCTTAAGCAATAGAGAATTATCTTTATTTTTTTTCTCTGCACCGATCTTGCCTATTCTCTGCACTTTTCTTCGGCCATGCGTTGAGGTTGATGCAGTTGCAGTTGACTTTATTGACGGTTATTAGGCTTGTCGAAGGCGGGATAATGCTCTGATGTTGTTCTTGTTCTTGTTGCGGCTGCTCCTCCTTGTTCTGGTGTGGCTGTTCATGATGATGATGATGAGTTTTTAATATGCATTTGGTGCTTGGAGTTCGCTTTACGGTTAGCCTAATAACACATCCCATCCCCATCCATATAACAAAAACACACACATTTTAAATGAGAGCAGGCAAAAAACAGAATCTCACGAGAACTTTTCGCGACCGATCTTTATCTCCCAATCTCCCATCCGCAGCTGCCCATCCTGGCGCCGTTTGCTACAGCCACGCCCACTGTCAAATGTTCGACACCCGCACCCACTGTGACTTCCTCATCCCGAATCTCTTCGGACGCTGCCAGTGCACCAGTCCCGCCAAGATGGTGGGTGGTCTCTGTGTGGCCCCGGCGGCGGATCAGGAGGAAGATCAGAAGCAGGAGCAGGCCATCGAGAAGGTGGAGCAGCCAGCTAGCAGTACCACCACCACGACGACGACAACAACAACTCCTAGACCCACAACAACCACGAGGAGAACGACGACGACAACAACCACGACGACAACCACTCCTGCACCCACAACAACAACCAGAAGAACAACGACCACCACAACGACCACTCCTGCTCCCATTTTGCTAGAGGATGAGCTGCCCGCCAGTGTAGAGGAGCAATCTCTGGAGGAGGACGACGGTGAGGCCACCAAGCTGAGGCCTGAGGTCACCGAGGTTGATAATGGCGAGAAATTAGAGGCTGTGGACATGGCTCATGAGGAGACTGAACTGACACAGCAGCAGCATCAAGAAGAGGAGCAGCAGCAGCAAGTGGAAGAGCAGGAACATCAAGAAGAGGTACTGAAACATCAGGAGGAAGAGCAGAAAAAGCAAGAAGAGGAGCAGAAAAAACAAGAAGAAGAGCAGAAAAAACAAGAAGAGGAGCAGAAAAAACAAGAAGAGGAGCAGCAACACCAAGAGGAGGAGCAGAAACGGCAAGAGGAGGAGCAGCAGCAACCTCAGTCGATCATCCCACAACCAAGTGAAGCTGAGAATACCCAAACCTCTCATGATGCCACCACTGGAGTCCAGCAACTTCTGACACCCGCAGATGTGCCCACAGAGAATGCCAATAATGTGGAGCAGGAAACCGAGGCTGGACCAACCGAGGATTATCCCTACAAGATCGATGAGGAATACGCTGAGGAGCACGATAACAAACCAGAAACTCCAGAACTGACTGCAGAGCAGCCCGAACACGAAGAATCCCCAGTGGCGCCCGAAATCGCACCCATCGAAGCGGATGAGGAGGCTGCGGAGGCCTCGGGTGGCCAAGAGATTGCCTCATCACCCATCGACGACTCCATGAAATTTGATTACGAAGTTCCAGTCGAAGAAGCTGAGCCAGAGAAGCCAGAAAACGAGGAGGAGAAGGAGGAGGTTCATCAGCAGACTAACGAGGGGGTGGTGCCCATCGATACCGAGAGTGAGACTGATGCGGAGACCAGCACCGAGCACCAGATCCAGACGCAGCTGCTGGAGGAGGACGAGGTGCCAGAGCCAGAGTCAGAGTCAGAACCAGAGACATCCCAGACAGTGGCCGATGAAGAACTGATCCCAGTTAATGAAGCTGAAACCGAAAGTGTGACGAAGGCAGCCGAAGAAGCCGAAGCTGGGGAGCAGGCAGAGGAGGAAATACCAGAGGATCTGGCTTCGGGGGATCATGAGCTGGAAGTTGCCGTGGCCAACGACGAGGTGGAGCCGCCCAGGCAGGTGGAGCCAACAGAAGCGTTGAAGATCGAACAGCCAGCCCAGGTGGAGAGTGAAAGCCAAGTTGACGAGGTGGGAAAACCAGAGGAGCCAGAAACCGAAATGGAAACAGAAAAAGAAATAGAAAAAGAAAAAGAAACAGCAGCGACCGAAGCCGCAGAAGTGGAGCTGCCATCCACAGAAGCCAAGCCAGATATGGAGCCTGAGATCGATCAGGCGGAACAAAGCGCCGACATCAAGCCGACAAGTGGCGAAGATGATTTAAATGAAGCCAATCAATTAAATCAAGAGCAAGTCACCGAGCCAGCGGCTCTGGAGCAGCAGGAGGAGAGCGAGGAGAAAGAGCCCGAGCAGGTGGTGGATATCCATCAAGATGCAGATGAAGCCACAACAGAGAAACCAGTCCAAGAGCTGGAGGAGCAGGAGGAGCACGAGGTGGAGGCAATCACCGAAGCGGAGCACGAACAATTGACATACCCAACAAATGATGATGAATTGGCGCCAGTGGAAACAGAACCAGAGCTGGCCACCGAGGAACCAGAAACTGCTGAGATCACCACAGAGTTGCCCGAGCAGCAGCAGCAGCACCTGGATGAGGAGGAGCAGGTGGAGGAGGCGGCACATGAGGAGGAGCAACAGGTGGAGCCCGAGGAAAATGCAAATGCAATTAAGACGCCCGAAGTGTCGGAAGCAATTGTAGAGCCCCAGGCGGAGATGGAAATCCAGTCTGCCACCGAGAAAGAGATCGAACCAGAGTCAGTTGCAGATGTTGAGGAGGAGGAACCAGCCACTGTAACCGAGCAGATTCAAGAGGCTGAGCCCGAAGTGGAGCCCATTAATGACGAGGTGTTGCCGGTGGATGCGGATCAGGCCAAGCCAGAGCTGGCAATTAAGACCGATGCAGATATCGAGCCGGAAGTCACCGAAGAACCCGCTCAGACGGGGATCGTCCCCGAATCCGAACCAGAAAGCGACGCCAGTGAAAGTGCCGCGACTCAGGCTGAGATTAGCCAGCAGCAGGATGAAGCCGAGATTGAGAAGAATGAGAATGACAACATTATCCAGGGAGCTGAGCCCAATGAAGAGGAGGAAGTGATCCCCGAGCCAGAAGCCGAACCAGAAAAGGAGGAATCTCCAGAGGCTGTCACGGAAGCTCAGGAGGAACTGCCAGTTGCTCAGGAAGAGGAGGAGTTGGCCAAGCCGGAAATGGACTACACCAGTATTGAGCATCTTCAGGAGATTTCCCAACCAGAAGAAACCACTGCTGCCATTGAAGCGGAGGAATCTGAGCCAGCGGAGTCCACCTTGTCCCCGGAGATTCCCGAAGCCCCTATTTCCATTGTGAGCGAGGAAAGCGATCCAGAAAAGGACCCCCAGAACTTCCACGAAAGTGAGAGCATTGCCGACATCCTAAGCGACTTGATGTTGGAGGGTGACAGCACTGTGCCACCCGTTCCATTTGGCCAACAGCCCGCCCAAACGGTTCCCATGGTGGAGGCCAACTCGGAGAACGAGGAGGAGCAACAACATGAAGCCATTTCCGATCTCCAAGCCGAAGCTGATGAGACCCAAGATCATGTGGAGCAAGTGCACCCGGTCGAGGAAACTGAACCCGCCATTCCCGAACTTTTTGCTGAGGCAGCTAATGATGAAGAGCCGGAGGACGAAGAGCAGCAGGTGACCCCCGTTCCCGAACAGACTGTGGAGGATCAACCATCTCAGGATCAGGAGGAACATCAGCAAATTGAGAAGGAACATAAACCCATTGCAGAAGAACATCAGAAAATTGAAGAGGAACATCAGCCGATTGTAGAGGATTATCAGCCAACGGAAGAGGAACACCAACAAAATGAAGAGGAGCACCAAGAAAATGTAGAGGAGCACCAACAAAATGAAGAGGAGAACCAACAAAATGAAGAGAAGCATCAAGAAGTGGAAGAGCAGCATCAGCAGGATGAAGCGGAAGCCCCCAAGGAAGAGGAACCAGCCAAGGATGTAGAAACCGAATCTCTGCCAGAGGAAGCTACCACTGAAAAGTTACCGGAATCCGAGCCCGAGGAGGAGCGCACTCTTTCCCCCGAGGAACTGCCCTTCGATCTCACCGATCACTCCGACGCGATCCGTTTCAATGAGCTGGAGTCCGACAACCTTATCTTGGAATCCACCACCAACATCGATGGTCTCCAGGAGCTGGATAGCAACCACATTGAGGAAGAGCCCGCTGCTCATGCTATCCCCCATGAGGAAGCCACCCCGAATCCCGCTGACATTGTGGAGATCACCACCCAGACCATGTTGGGTTTGGCCAGTCGGGTGACCCTCATGGAACCCGCTGCTCCTGTGGTGACCACTCTGATGCCTCTGATGACCGCCGATGAGCCCACTCCTGAGCCAGTTGCTCCAGCAGCCATCCTTCCCGCCTCTCTGTCCGCCATTAAGCCCGGCTCGGAGCTTCGCAAGCGCGTGGATCTGGGTCTGGAGGCGGTTTCCCTGGGATTGGCCTGCAGCAGCGATCGCCAGTGCCAACTGGCCGATCCTCACACCGTGTGCAATGGACGAGGAGTCTGCGACTGCGCCGCCGGAGAAGAGGGAACGCAGTGTAGTGCCGAAAGAACTGGATGCAGTCCAGGAACCTTCCAGGTGAGTTCTACAATACAAAGAGAAGAAATATTCAAAGTCAATAGAATTTACTCGAAATTAATTATTTATGTTGAATGTCATTAAATATATAGCTTAACTTCTTTAGTTCGATTTTAGTTATTATCAATTTGTAAACATTTGTAATTTTTTGTTATTTAATTTTGAAATCTATTGGATATTACAAAAAATACTTGAAAACAGTATTATGACGTAAAACTTAAGTAGCTCCAAAGAACCACTAAATAACCAGACTACTTATTAGATTATCTAATTTCATGAACCTCAATTCAAGCCTTTTATTATTAAGTTTGTATCTCTTTTCTCCTCGAATGATTATTACTTAATAATATACTATATCTTTTACATTTCCATTCCAGTGCCGCTCGAGTGGCGTGTGCATCTCGTGGTTCTTCGTGTGCGACGGACGGGCCGACTGCAATGACGCCTCCGACGAGGAGTGCACCCACAACGCCCGCCTGAACCAGAGCTGCCCCACCGAATCGTTCCGCTGCCAGCGCAGCGGTCGCTGCATCTCGCGGGCGGCCTTGTGCGACGGCCGGCGGCAGTGTCCGCACGGCGAGGACGAGGTGGGCTGCGACGGGAGCGTGAGGGGCGGCAACGCCTGTCCGGAGCACACCTTCCGCTGCGGCAGCGGCGAGTGCCTGCCGGAGTACGAGTACTGCAATGCGATCGTGTCCTGCAAGGACGGCAGCGATGAGCCGCCGCACCTCTGCGGCTCCCGCGCCCTCCCCAACATCTTCATGCGTCTCATCGAGGCGGGCGGCCTGCTCGGCGGGGGGCGGCGGGAGGCGGACGCCTACTGCCCGCACCGCTGCAGCAACGGACTGTGCCGCTCCACCGCCATCGTCTGCTCCGGTCGCGATGGCTGCGGCGACGGCACCGATGAGCAGACCTGCGCTGTGTGCCGTAAGTAATCCTTGAGACATCCTTTGGACTAAGGATCTATTTTAACTATTCCATATTTTTACCTTTCACTGGCTATTCAAATTTAAGCAATAGTTTTGGCTTGCCAATCTTAATTTTAACTCTCGAATCATTAAATTTTCTTGGAAATTACTTTAAATTACATAAAACTATATGGTTTCTTAAAATTACATATTTTTAAATACAACACTTTTTGCAAATCTAAACTTTAAAATATTAATATTTTTAAACAAAAAATATATATATATAAAGTTGAACCTTAAATCCAATTTTTATACTGCCTTTACTAGGGAATACCTTAAATAAAAAATTGGTGAATTATTAATGACTACAATCTCTTTTTCCCCTTTCAGGTTGCCCCGCCCCGACTGTTGCCAGCCTGCCCGCTTTCCTGGCCCGACAACGCCCCATGCCGCTGTGGTAGGAACCTGCACCACTTGCACCACCTACATCACCCGACCACCAACCACTTCCGGTCACCATTTTGACCGATGTTTTGCTACATGCTGTTTTCCGACCCCTTCAAACTCTATCGCTATACCAATACCGCAACCGCATTCGAAACGATTTTTGTCTAGCATTTAAGTGGATATTTAAAAAATTATTTATTTATTTATTATGACCTTAGCTGCGCCCATGCCACGCCCAATTGCCACCTTGCTATCAAAGGGGGTCTTCCGTCTCCTTTGAGCCAGTGATGTTTGTCAATTGCGCCACTGGGCGCAACCCTAAACCACATATGACACCATACACCACAAAAGACACACCACCACACACACTTCGCCCCCATTTCGACTATTTATTCTACTCATCTGGACCATCAAAAACTATTTATTTATAACCCCAAACACACCTCACCCACAAAAACAGACACTAAAACACTTGAAAAGGATTCTTCGTTTAGCTTAGTTTTATGCAATTTTCCAATTTATTTAAATTATTGGCCAGGCAAACCAGTAACGGAAAAGATAACAAAAACCATGAAATGATGCATTTTTATCGATAAATATTTTGTAAATAAGAGTAAACGTGTTCGATGTACATGATAAACGACAATGCCTATAAAGAAACGTAGGGTATCTAACATAACACAATCAGATCATATCCCCTATATAGTTTATTATATATATGTATGTGTGAGAGGCACTCACACACTTTTCTCAAAGTCAAGACGCATCACAGTAAAGCTAAAAAAATAAAGAAACGACAATAAAAAATCTATTTTTAGAAAACTATTTAAAAAATAAACCTGCTTGTTTTATTTCAAATTTTTTGATGGATTTTCCGCTCGGGTGTTGTATTTTTTAAAGTTTTTAGACTCTTGAACATTTATTAAATGGTTTTACGATATACTTTGGAAGAAATCTTCCAGGGTTTTACAAGGCTCAAAAAAGTGGATTGGTATATGAATTTTTTTTAAACAGATATAGTTTTAAAAAAAGCAAATGATGAATCTGTGCTCAAAATTAAAAGTAATTTTCCAGAAATAGCTTTTCAAATGATATTTATTTATTCCGTTTAGTAGGAGATGCCAGTGTGGTCGCGGATCCAGTCCAGATGGTAGGTGACGCGCTGGAATCCAGCAGGAGCACCCGACTGGCAGCCGGCGACGGATCCAAAGTTGGTGACGCCCACGAGCTTGGTGCCGTCATGGGTGACCAGAGGACCGCCAGAGTCTCCGCCGCAGGTGGACTTGCCATCGGGAGTCCTCACGCAGATGATGTTGTCGCCCACACTGCCGTAGTAGCCGGAACACTCCGAGTTGTGAATGATCTGCAGATCGACGCACTGCATGTAGTCGGGAAGAGGGCTGCCATCGTAGGTGCCTCCCCATCCGCAGGCCACTGCCCACCATTCGTTGTAGTCGTTGTACCGATCGTTGTAGCTGGGCAGCTCCACCTTGTTGACCATGTGCCAGAAGTCCACGTGCGGGATGCGGATCAGGGCGATGTCGGCGGAACCATGCTTGATGAAGTTGCCGTTGCCAACCCAGTGGGTGTACTGTGCGTTGGTGCGCCAGGTGGCTCCGAAGTAGACGGTCACGGAATCAGCATCCGAGATGCAGTGCTCGGCGGTGAGGACCCAGTCGTGGGCGATGATGGAGCCACCGCACCACCAGCCACCACTGAAACCCAGTCCCACGGTGTAGGGCGCCTTGCCCTCCTCCGCCGGATAGCCGTTGGTGATGCGACCCTGCATGTCCTTGGTATGGGTCGCCTTCTGGGTCACCTGCTGGGTGCCGGGACGGGTCATGGCTGCGCCGGAGGCCGAGGCCACGGCCAAGGCCAGGATAGCTACGAATACCTTCATGTTGCTGGAACAACTTGTGGATTGGTGGCTACCGGCGGAGTATTTATACCCGGATCGTATCGGCCGAAACAACCAAGTCAATGGGTCATATATAATCAAGGTCCAATCTGCAGATAAAGTAAGCATTGGAAATATATGGCCCAACTTCCATCTTAGAATGACGTTTGGAGAGTTTATTGGAACACCTGAAGATAGCAAAGTCTCATATTAATAAATTCGACTTTAACAATGATCTATGAACAAATAGAAACAAATATAAAGATTTGTTCTCATCTCTCAAGACTCTTAGACTTAAATGAGTTTTAAGAGCGGCAGAGAAATGGAATCGGGGGTTATGGGATATAGTCCTTTAAAGTCATACTACTTAGAAATGATACAGACGTACAATTTGTATAACACTATAAATTGCAAATAATACTATGGTCGGATTATAAAGGATACGCAAAACAAGTGCAAAGTCCGGTGCAAATTTAACCGTTTTTAGATTAGTCAGATTTAATTTTGAACGATACTTCTAAATATTCAAAACAATCATATTTCATAATTGCGAAATTCACTTTATTGGCGTTAAGATTATAATTATTGAAGATAAGATAAAACAGTCCTTAGCTCATTTTTTGATTATTTTAATGACTATCAGCTTATTTTATTGTTTGCTGATAAAGTTTGAAGTACCTTAATTAGATTTCAGGGAAACGGAAGGAATATGTTTAGGGGAAGAACATATAAATAAATTCGATAAAGAAAATATATTCTTACAAAAAACAAAACACACTGATAATTTTTTTAAATGATAAGAACATTTTTCCTGATAGTACTTAGATTGTTCAAAAGTGCCAATAAAAATGGAAATATATATTTGTAGAAAATGTACTTTTAATCTTAACTTTTTTATCCTAATTGTTCTATTTAGAGGGTCACTAAATATTCATGAGCAAAAACTATTTGTACCTATTTGTTTAGATTTAAATTTACGATCCACAGTCTTTTACCAATTTACTTTGGTACTTTATTTGCATTGTTTTCCTTTTTTGTTTTGTTACCGCTTAAAGTTGTGGATGTGACCTTGCCTGAGGCTAAACGAAGACATTTGGTGAAAATTCCAGACACCCACCGCCCCCAAATTTTTCGCCGTGAACCAACAAGTGTGTGTGAAAAAAGGAGGAGGGTTCAGGCAGAGGAAAATAAAAGAGAGAGCGTGCAAAATACCGACACAGCACGTGCCAAAAGTGGATCACAGTGCGCAGACTCAGTGAGTGTCAAACTCTGCATCGGGCAATTGGCAAATAAACATTGCATACTTTCAGGCGTCACTTGCGAATGTGCAATGCATCGCGTGTAGCTGTTGTACATGCACTTAGAGAAACAGATCAAACATGAAACCTTTAAATTATAACGCATTGAAAATTTGAAACATAGGAGGCCAAGCTTTATATGTGGATGACATCATTCGAAAATAGGTCGATAATTTCGGTGTATAAGTCACTTTAAAATTACTATCGGGCGTGGCAGCGAAAGTACTTTGAATATACAAATACTACAGATTAAAAAGTTTGGTGACATTTTTTTAGGTAAAGACTTAATATTTCAAAAATGTATCGCAAAATACAATTCTAGAAATAGTTTGCTCATTTTCAGATTATGTTCATGTCTTAAAAATCATGCAACTATAAATAAAAAAAAACTCTATTGTTTAATGGCATCCACAGTTCGTGAGGACGCCCAGAACTGAGTTGAAAAATTACTAGCACTATTTTTGATAAATATTGTTTTTAATGTTTTGTTGTTATCCACCCCCTTTCTCAAATGGTTTTAAGTTAGCTTTTAACAATCAAGTCCAACTTTTATGATATCTACAGTTTCTGACCTAAACTGCGTTTAATTAATGTACTGTCGATTGTTATTATTTTATTTATATTCTTAAATCAGGGTATTCTTTCTAATCGCACACTTTACTCAAAATTATTTAATTGATTAGATTAGATTCTTAAGAACCAAATTTTCTGTTGCTAGATCAAGATGAACGTATTTCTGTAGAAGGCCTTACACGTAGTGACGATTGTAGAGTGACGTATTCATCCTTTGAATGTATTTGAAATAAAAAAATTATATTAATCATTTTAAAAGTATGTGCAGATAATTAATTAAGTGTTGTAAAAATTTAAAACTCTCTTTATGTCCAAAACATCGAACATTTAAAACATCGACATTTAGTTAAATCCTTTTTTATAACCTTGCCACAGGAGAGTTAAACTGTCCGTCTATCTCTCCGTCAGTATCTATTCAATTATAATTACTTTTATTAAACATTCTATTTCTAATTTTAGGGGGGTTTTATTGTTAAAGTACAATTTTGTAAACATTAGTTTAGTTTTTCATTCACACATTCTATTTCTAATTTTGGAGAGGTTTTATTGTTATAGTATAATTTTGTAAACATAACAAAGTTTCTCCATATTTTTTTTTAGTGCTCCGCTTGATGTGGCTGATGTTCCGCGTTGTTTTTGCTAGTGGCTGCCGCTTGTTGTTGCCCCACAGCGAGGGTGTAAAAAATCTCACATCGGCAGCGTTCGTCGTCATTCGTCGGAGGTCTCCGTTCGCTGGCAGTCGCACAGAACAGCCGCAGCTGCTCAGTCGTTGAGTCGTTCAGTCGTATCGCATTATCCGTTTCGCCAGCAAGGACCTGCGAGGACTTGTGTCGGGCATCGTCCAATTCTAAGGAGCAGCTGCAAATCACACTACAAATATTTGTATATTTGATGCAATCAATAGGGATGTACATATGGCGATGAGTCCAAGTGAGTGTGTCCCGAAAACTGGATGAATACTGCCACATACGCAGGGTGTTAACGAATTTCCAGGCGGTTCGGAAAAGTTCGCAATGTTCGCGCGAAAGTGTGTGTGTGTGTATCCGTGTGCGTCCTTTTTGTATCTGTGTATCTGGCATTTGTATCTGTATCCGTTGGCAGTGTGCTCGACAAAACGATTGCAATTTTACGCTGACGCTGCAACAGAAGCAGTTCGCTTCAATGGAACTTGACATAGTACCTCCCACCGCCCCCTAAGCCCATATATACACCCGTATGTGCGTGTGTTATTTTTACCACCGCTGAGTGTCCTCGACACACTCACACATCCGCAAAGTATCCTGCAGCGGAACCCCTGGCACGTCATTCGCCCCTCACCCATTTCCCCAAACTATATTTTCATTATTATATCCATTATATGTAGCTTTTTTAAAAGGCCCCCCCAAGTGCATTCGCCATTAAAATGCAATGCACTATCTTGATCCACGGCTAGTCATTAAAAGCCACGCCAAAAGTGTTGTCACTTTTTAATGCCAGACTTTGTCAGTCCCTCGCTAATTTATTTAAACATTGTTAAGCCATACAAATCGAACAATTCAATTAGATAAAGACTGCTAAATACTGCAACGCCTCCGTCATAAATGTTGCAAAATGGGGCATAATCGAAGTTGGAAATATCTCCACAACAACAAATTTTAAACGCAGCATATTATGTACATATTCAACATTTCGTTTAATATTACGTATATAGTTCTTCGAGCAATTAACTGTTATCACAGCAGTTCCGGTTTATGAACAATATATATTTTGTCTTCATTTAAAATGTACAAATATAGGAACAAAACTGGGGCTTATCGCAGCCAGCATATTTTGAGCCTCGGATTAAATGCTCGAGCATTTATCGTGTTGTGTAAAATATTGTGCCATATTAAGCTTTTTTATGCATACCACTTCGAATTATAAGTTTTAGCTTTAACAATTTTTAACAAAACAAGATTTATATTCACAACTTGGCATTTAAGGGAATAAAAATAAGTAATATTCGAAAGAAAATGTTAAGACATAATTTCCATATAAAGGCTGTCATTTAGAGATAAATTAATTAAATTACAATTTGTATATTAGTACCGAAATATCTCGAAACAAATTTTCCTTTTATCGGTGGCAAACGCTTCCACAAAGCTAGTCTACCTCTGTTATCCCAGTACTGGGTACCAAAAGCATATAATTATATTTAGCTATCTAAAAAACGTGTCATGGATTAACACAACAAAATATCTAATCAATGTTTGTTACACGAAACTGCAAAAAGTGGAAACTAATGACCGCCGAACGGCGTCGTGATCGATGAAATAATGCCGCTGAAGCGGGGATCCATCATGAGGAATAAAAAGCTTTGTTGTTATTTCCACATTCAGATTCCCTTACTTACTTACCTTATTTCTATGTTTGGGCTCCGTCGCATTCGCGATTCTGCCGTTATAGTGTTCGGACCGCTGACGAATCGCTTAGCAGAACGTCGAAGCGATGTAGTTTAGCAGACGTTGCATTTCCATTAATTAAATTCGAAAACCGACCCCTTCGCCAGCCCCTTTTCATTGGGCCCAGTCAAGGTTGGCCAAATAAAAGGTTATTTATATTCATTTTGGCTGAGGAACACTATTGGCACTGAGCAAACATCGGACCCATAAATAAAGACCCCTTGCAATGTGTTTAATGAACTTACATAGGAAAATATTATTGTGCTGCTGCAATAAGCAAACGTTTGTTGACCCGATAACTACCACGTGTGAAAACAAGCTGAATACAAAAAGCCTGTAGTAAATATATAATCAGTAATGAATGAATGCATAAAATTTCCAAACAAACAAAACAATACCTTTCAATGCGACTAGTGCCATTAAGTGAAAAGCAAATATTTGTTTTAATTATGTAAATCTATGAGACTTCAATACACATAAGAGTGCTAAAAATCTAAAAATAAATACATATATGACAAAATCTCTAATGAACCTAAACTATTTATAATTTATATGTCGATTAGCTATTGAACAAGACAAAATACTATTTTGAGAATCAGTAGCGAAAGAGTGACAAATCAGTGCCAAAAATGTGGAGAATAATAATGAAATAATTAATTAGTAAATTACCTTTAACATGCAGAGTTCCGGACATTGTCAATTATAATCTCATCAGACTTATCGTATTCGGTTTTGCAAGCGGTGCAAACAAAATACTTAATTTATTCATTGTTTGCAAAAGAAAAACCACACTTAACCAACTGACCTTTGTAATAACAGAAAATTAATTTTACAGCCAAAAAACTTCAGGTGTTTTGCATTCGTCAGCTATTTTTTAACGGTACGCTTTCAATTTCAGTTGCGAAATCAACAATAATACACCAATAAAGCAAACACATTGAAATAAACATTCCAAAGGTTAGTCTTGTTTTGTTAAACCAATAACAATTTTTTATTTAGAATTACAAATATAAATAAAAACAGCGAGTTAAAGAAAGTAGTTTTTTAATGTGTAAGACAGGGGTCCTCACTCAACAGTACAAACAGTATTTGTAGTGCATTAATACCGTAGGATACAAATAATAAAAATCAAATGCACACATGATTGCAATTATTGTTGGTCAGCTTGTTCTTATCACCAGCGGATATTGACACAAAGAAGATAGTGAAAAATGTATTGTAAAATATGCTGAGGGCATATGCGGGCAGTGAGTGAGCACCCCTGACTTAAAGACTTAATTATTATTTTTGGACAAAATGGATTTTTTGTTTGCTCCATAGTTTATTTCTTTTCCCATGTTTACAATTTGTTCAGTTGCAATTGTAATGAGTTTAGCTTTTGCACAAGTGGCCGAGAGCAATCTCAGAGAGGTAGTTAAAATTAACTACTAAAATTGTTTACAAAAACCATAGGGTTATGTAATTAATGAATATCTAAATTTTTATTAACAGCTGCTGTAAATAATATATTTGGCTAAGATCATTTATAATGAATTGTAGTGATAGCCAGAGACCGTTATCACTAACCCAAGTTTAAATAAAAGAAAAAGAATATTTTTTTTCAGTTATAATTACTTATGAGTTTTTTTTTTATATTTATCAGTAAGCAATAGGGTTCAACTAACAAGTAAACTTTTTAATCTTGTCCTAATTCCGTATAAAAAAGCTGCAACGACTTTGAGTCATATTTTTGAGCGAAATGAAGCGGAGTCGCAGTTTCTGAGAAATATTTTGATCATTTAAGTCATTTATGATAAATATTATAAAACTCAAAAATAATAACTATAAATAGTCTGAAAATTCAAATTTAGTGCCAAGGATTGTTTAAATTGTATTCAAAAAGCGGTCACACAAACTGCCGAAATTCCCGATCTAAATTAATATTAATTGGGAAGATTAGAGAGACTGGGAGGCGAGACAATGGTATAATGACACACACCACTTACACTATCACTTATCTTTTCCAGTACACAATATCTGACTATTTATTCTTTCGTGTTAAAGGCGAGTCAATCATCTTCCAAAATTCCTGCTCTAAATTAAATTTGTTCGGAGAAATCAGAGATACTGGGAAGCAAGACACATACCGCGCTCGTTATCACTTATCTTTTCTACTCCACAAGTTCCGACTATTTATCTATTGTTTCGAATTAAAGGGAAGTTAATCATCATTCAGTAAACGTCAGTGATCAATGCGAATTTAAAAAGAATATTTAATTAGCAACCAAATGGAGTATCACAATTAAAACAAAATAAATGATTATTTTAGGTCCCTGGTGTTTTCTAAGAATATTTTTGTATGCTTTGTGTTTTACATTATTTAATTGTTGCAAATCATAAATTCCATATAGCAGTCTTTAAATTATACGTCCAGCAAATATAATTGAAATATCAAACCCGCATACATTCACTTCAACCTATTTTAATTTTTGTTTAACTAAATTTTCAGTTGCACTATTAAAATCAATTGGATTGGTTTTGATTAATTAAGTACTCATTTATTTGTGGACATGAATAGCCGAGAGCTTAAATGACATGGCAGAGAAACGCCTACTGCTGGAGCGATCCGACTGCTCAGAGACCGAGGAGCTGGAAGTCCAAATGACCCGACGGAGCGGAGGAGTCCTCCATGCCATCCAGCATCGATCCCTGCCCGTGAGCAGGAAGTCGGTGCTCGGCCTGCTGGTGTCCTTTGTGTTCTGTTACTTCCTGATCGGACGACCCGAGTGGGCGAAAGTCCTCGATCTGGATGTCCTGCGTTCGAATAACTATGTTGCAGTTCAGCATCAGTCCACTGTGATGGATGGTGAGTCTAGCTAGAGAATGACCTGTTTTTTATTTTCATGTTTTGCATGCACGCTATTATGATTTGCTTTCCCCTCCTTATGTTTGTGAATGCCCAGTTGAAACCCTGCCTCCTGAAACATCTAATGAGAGTATTGAATTTGTGCCGAAAGGCTTCCTGGTGTACAGCAATTCTTGCCGGATCATGGAGGTTGATCCCTACAAGAGCGAGGTAATGCGTCACTTTAAGCGACTCAAGTACAAGGCCTGTCAGAAGCTGCCGCCCTTGACCCAGGTCAAGTTCCAGGAGAAGTCCCAAAAGTACCTTCTCAGCATCGATGGAGCTGCCTTTAGTCGGTACCCGGTGGGTACCAAGCTGCACTGCTGCTACATGGAGGTTCAGCGGGTCAGCGAGATGAATGTGAAGTACACCAAGTGCCAAACCTTCAAGGGGAGCACAGAACTGCCCAATTCCGCAGAGGGCATCATTGTCAAGTGTGATTCCGGCGGACGGCAGATCTATATCAATGGCCATGCCACCGTTCCCGTCAAGGAGGCAGTGCAGCAGAGACTCCAAAAGGCATCTGAGGAGGAGACGAAGAATGAAGCCAAGGTGCGACCTCCAAGCGTTTTGATGCTCGGCATCGATAGCATCTCCCGTGTGAATCTGATCAGGGCCATGCCCAAAACAGCCCAATATCTTTACGACAACGGATGGTTCGAGCTGGCTGGTTATAATAAGGTGAGTTAGAATGATCTAAAAGCCCAACTTAGAAAATGAATCACAAATGTCAACTTTTTCTCTTTGTTAATTACTCTAATGTCAAAGATCATAAAAGTTTACAATGCAGTAAAATTCGACAAAAAACCATAGTTTAAAAATTGAATCTTAAATGATTGAGCATGACTGTGTTTAGCACCTAACAATTTGTCTTGTCCCTCAGACATTTGTTTAGAACTTATACAATCTTAACATAATAAACCTAAAAGCCTATTTACACATTCTAAACTGTTGAAATGTTGACGTTTGTAATCAGGTTAATTTTTTGCAGTTATCTATCTGCAATGTACAAACATACATATAAAATAAAAATTTATTTTTAAATTGTTCATTATTAAAGAATACATATTCTGGAGAATCTTCACAATATCCCCTTTTTATCGTCAGGTGGACGACAACACATTCCCGAACATCATGGCAGTTGCCACGGGCTTCAATCTCCACAACGCCATGCAGGCGTGCTCCCCCTACGTGAAAGGGGGCCTGGACAAGTGCGACTACATCTGGAAGCAGTACCAGCAGAGGGGCTACGTCACCGCCTACGCGGAGGATGCTGTGAAGATCAACACGTTCAACTACCTGAAGAAGGGCTTCGAGAATCCGCCGGCGGACTACTACTTGAGGCCCTATCTCTCTGCTGCCGAGGAGCAGCTGGATCACACGTCGGTCAATGGTCTGCTGCACTGCCTCGGTTACGAGACGGAGGCGGAGCACGTGTACGACTATGGGTTGGAGTTCACCAGGAGGTTCCTAAACGATACGTACTTTGGTTTCTTCTGGACCAACACGCACAGCCACAGTGATATATCTCAGACGAGCAGCATGGATGACTATATGGCGGAGTATCTGCGGAAACTGGTGCGCCAAGGCACCATGGACAACAGTGTGGTGGTGTTCTTCAGCGACCATGGCATGCGGTTCGGACCCACGAGGGCCACCTGGTCAGGTCATTTGGAGGAACGACTGCCGGCTATCTTCATCTGGTTACCTCATCACCTGCGTCGCGCGCATCCAGAGTTTGTGCGTGGCCTCCAGTTGAACAGAAATCGTTTGACCACGCCCTATGATCTCCATCTGACCATGAAGCACATCCTCTCTCTAACCGGACGAACCGATATGGAATCGTTGGGGCCGGCACCCGATTGTCCGCAATGCCAGAGTTTACTGCGACCCGTCTCCCCGCTGAGGAGTTGCTCCGATGTGGGCATCGCGGATCACTGGTGCACCTGCTGGGAATACTCTACAATCTCCACCACCTCGAAGGAATCCCGGATGCTCGGCAAGCGGGTGGTGAGCTACATCAACACTTATGTGGCAGAGTTCCGAAACGGAACCTTTGCCAAGCTGTGTGCTCCCCTCTCCCTGCTAAGCATCAAATCCGCTTTCCGGGCGCATCAGAATGCCCTAGATCCGGAGGAGGTGCACACCTATCGACTGATTTTCGTCACGTCGCCGAATAAGGGCCAGTACGAGGCCACCTTGCGGCACAACCGCACTGATGATTCCGTTCTGGTGACTGGATCTGTGAGCCGGTTGAACGTCTACAGTGGAGAGGCGGATTGCATGAGTGATTTCGGTGCCAAAAAATATTGTTATTGTCGAAAAAAGAAGGGATAGAAGTAGCAGTAGGATTAGAACTAAGGCTAGTGCCCAAGTGCCGTTAATCAGATTAGAATCTGGCAGTACAATTATCTTAATCTTATATTCTAGGAGTCTCTTCCTCTCTATGCCTGAAATGTGCATCTGCAAGTTCTCAAGATTTATAAATATTAATTAGGGTCTCTGAAAATATTTCTTGATTATAAAATCGAGGAAATATGTTCAGAATAGGATTTCTAAAGTTTTTGAGTTTGTTTATCATTTTCATCATTCTGTTGAAAACGTTTTGATGCCCTAACTATTAGTTAAAAACGCGTAGAAATTTGAGAAACACTCTTGTATATTTATATTTAAGGATTAACTGTTACCCTTGTAAATAAATTGTTCTCCTTGTTCTAAAAGAGATTTGCCAATAATTAGTTAAGTCATATTTACTTATATAGTTAGTCGCTTAACTACTAAATGTTACACTTATGATTTAGTATTTGTGTTTAACTTATAATGATATTATAACTTCAAATTATAATTCTGTTAGAAAAAAAAGGTCGAGTAATTGAAGCGTCTAATTAATTTGGTATTGAAATCGAAAGGTATGTACATAAAAGAGATTACTCAGTAGTGTAAAGAAGTCAGTTTTGGTCAGATTTGGCGCAGAACTCCCAGGTACTGGCTTTCTCTTTGAAGCTGTAGTTGCCCAGCAGATTTTTGAACGCCTTGAAAAGCTTAGTCAGCGGACTATTGCGCTGCAGTCCAAGGAGATCTCCGGGTAGTGGCTGTACATCCAGGCGCAGCTCCTTGTAATCCTCACTGGCCAGCAACGAGAAGTAGCCGCGCAGATTGACCGCATATTGTGGATTGCCCACTCGGGTTTTTGAAAACTCGATTGTTTGCTGCAGCTGGTGGGCAAAGAATGATTGACCCGCTCCACGTTGGAAAGAGCGTCCGGAGTAAGTGTCGTAGGAGATGCTGATGAGCCACTTGTAGTATCCCGGTTCCTCTGACTCCTTCAGCTCGATATTCAAAGCATAGAGCTGTGTAAGCACGTCCTTAATGGTGTCCACATAGCAGGCCAACCAGTAGTAGTATATCGGTCGACTCTCATCTATTTTATTGCGGCTCAGAACAACAGAGCGTAAGCATTTGAGATCGTTTGTGGTGGGCGTGATCACGTGCGATCGAACGATTGGCGGCGCATTATATATGCCGGCCATTTCGATGTTGGTTTCTTTCGGCTCACAGACTGGCGGTTGCGTCTGGACAACTTCTATTTTTTGTTGCTTTCGAGGAGTGGCCTTCTCCGCTTTTTTGTCCGCCACTAACCTGTCAGCCACGAGCTTGTCCGCCAAGCCAAATAATAAGTAGTCATATAGCTTCTCTGGCTGCGAAGTTAGTTCCTGATCGCTGCATGCTTGAGCTGCCAGAATTATGCATTGCCTGATATAGCAGAGATTCGATTGGGACACTGACTTGGCCACGTTATGCTGCAACTCGAAGGGATCCTGTACGCACATGGCCCGATCCAGCTGAAAAGCCTCCGGGGGCTCACCTGTCGCATCCTGCATGAGCTGCATCTGCTCGTCGTACTCTGGAAATCCGCCAGGCGTACCCAGTGTTATCTCCTTGTCGAGGCAGCTGCCCAAAAACGGACTTAAAATGCTCTTCTCAAAGTTGACAGTACTGTAGTATACAAAGAAATTTTTTAAAAGCTCCAGCGTGGTCAATCGAGCTGAAACCGGTGGCGTTAGGTCCAAACTATAGGCATAGTTAACGCCACACATATTAACAGGTGGGCAGAGCGACTGCAGCTGCTTGACAGAGGGCAGCAGTTGATGCACTTGCAAGTTAACGATGATCAAGGTAACTAGGCAATAGCTAGTCATGCTGCCGTGGCCAATCAATTTGAGCTTCCTAGCCCAGATCTTCAGGAACAGGCCAAGCTCGCGGACCCGCTCATCGCGGAACATTAGTTCGCCTATAAATCGCGAGTTATATGTGCTATTCGGATTGGACATATTGATGTCTATGTTAAGTCCGGTAAGCTGATGCTTGCATCGGATAATGGGTACACGGGCATGACGAATGGTGCAGATATCCTCGAAGCATTTGGATCGCCGTAAAAAGTATGAGACCTTGTTGTACAGCTGCTTGTGGAACATGGGTGGCTGCTCTCCGCAGGGCTGTAGATACAAATCTATGTCGCTTTCTAGAGGAAATTTATACAGGTTAGGTGTCTTTCTTTTGCTGGTTACCACTTACCCTTCAAGGCCAGTCCTGTGACCAGTGAACCAAAGGGAAAAACCCTAACCCTGCCTCTCATTTCCTTCTCTATGCAGTTACGCACGTGGCCGAAGCAGGCCTCCATCTTTCGAAGATCACTGGCAAAGAAATCCAATACCGTGCGCAGGTGGCCACCGGGTGCCGACTTTTCAAGCGCCTCCCGCAGCTCATTCCGCTCGGATTGTGCTTGTGCGCTGGTGAACAGTTTGGTTATGGCGTTCAGTCGCTGTCGCATTTGTTTCTGAGGCTTGCTTGCATGCTTTAGCAGCTCGTGGGCCAGGCAATCCTGCATGTTCTGGAAGGGCGCGGCGCAGACCATGCACAGCACCATATTATCGCCAACATCCCCAGGCGGAGGGGTAATTTCCGAGGCAGGAGCCGGCATTTCTGCAAGAACACGTTTAAATTAATGCTTGACGGCCAGGTTTATTCAACAACAATGTTCAGAAAGTAAGTGCCTGCCCCGTTTTCCTGTCCCCCACCCTTAAGAAATAGGATTTGGGTATAAAGCCATTGATTCCTGGGCAGAGCAGTACATTATTGCTGGAGCGGTAGATGGGAATGCCATCCGCTAGAATCTTATCTACATTAAGATATATCAAAATCTGACAATCGTTGCGGAATCCACTGAGGGTGCAGGTCGTATCATCGCTGCTGGCAAAGTGCACATGGTTGCGCTTCATCCTACTCAGACCTTGCCTCTTTATCGCATCCCAATGGCGGTAGTAGGTGCCGTGGACTGCCAGAGGGACCTGTCCAATATGGGTAATCCTGTCCAGTCCGCCGGCTTCTCCCTCTACCACTGAAAGCGAGTGTCCTTGATTGGCGCGAATTTCGTGGACGCCGCAATCTGGATTCCATCGAAGAGTATATCGCTGCTTTGCATCCGTGGACACAATCTCCTCCAGTTTTTCTAGCGTGAAGGTTCTGTACCGCGGGTGCTCCTGCAAATCAGATATACTAACGAAGCCATCCTCCTTGATGTGGATCCCCTCCGATTTCGCACCGTGCCGCAGCAACCAGGACAGCTTCTTGCTCAGCTGCACATCGATTTGCCTTTTGGGGGCCATTTTTTGCGAATAAAACTTACTTTTAAACAAAACAATTTTGTGGCTTGCGTATCAAAACAATTTTAATTAGTGTGACCGCGTCTGGTTCGTTAGAACACCATGTGAAACAACGTGTTCCCACTAAAATAACTGACCACTTTCTTTTGATCTCTTCTTTTTGCCAAAAAGGAATTCCCCGGAAATGGGTTATTGCGTCACTGGTACTGTGGTCACACACAAATCAACAAATTCATTAGTAATTCAAATTTGTATTTAAAAGTTCTAGAATATGCGGCTGCTGGTGCTCTATGGCAGTCAAACCGGAACCGCCCAGGATGTGGCGGAGCAGATTTGGCGGGAGTCCCACCAGCTGGGCTTCCAGGGTCCTGTCCTCTCTTTCGAGGAGTACGAAATGTCCCATCTGATCGAGGAGCGCCTCGTGGTCTTCGTGGTGGCCACCACCGGCGATGGAGTGGAGCCAGACAACATGAAGATGGCCTGGCGGTTCCTGCTTAAGCGCAGTTTACCAGCCCAATCCTTGCAAGGAATGCAGTTCGCATGCCTCGGCCTCGGGGACTCCAGCTATCCGAAGTTTAACTATGCAGCCAAGAAACTCAGTAAGCGGTTGCTGAATCTGGGCGCCACATCCGTGTGCCCAGTGGGTCTGTGTGATGATCAGCACGATTACGGACATTTGGGCGTATCTCTAGCCTGGACAAAGGATCTATGGGCGACATTGAAGGGCATCTCTGGTCTGGACGAAAGCAAGCTCAACAGCAGTAACCAAATAGGAAAGTGGTTCGTTAAAGAGTTACCCAGGGATTCCCTTAATACTCCATCGGAAACCCTGCTCTGGACACAAAAGCAACCTTCCCACTCCTTTAAAATCATTGAAAATCAAAGGACTACGGCGGAGAACCACTTTCAGGATGTACGTTTCTTGCGACTACAAAGCCAAACTGAAGATTTAAGCTGGGAACCCGGCGATGTGCTCGATGTTCAGCCCCAAAACAGCGATGATACTGTCAAAACATTCTTCGACCTAACCCGCGAACACAAACTGAATTTCGATGAGAGCACTGCCGTGGAGATAACCAGTGCCCACCTGGACATGCCCCTTCCCAAAGCCTACTCCATTCCACTAAGCCTCCAGCAGGCAGCCAAATATGTTTGGGATTTGAGCGCCAAGCCGCGGCAACGATTCCTCGAGGTCCTGGGTCAGAATTGCAGTGATGAAATGGAAAAAGAGAAGCTTCTCGAGTTCTGCTCCGCCGAGGGTATCGATGATCTGGTGGCCTATGTAAACAGACCTCGGCGCAGTCTCCTGGAGGTTCTGGAGGATTTCCGGCATGCCACCGCCAGTTTAACGCTAGTGCAGCTCTTTGAAATGATGCCACTGATCCAGCCTCGCAGCTTTTCCATTGCCTCGGATGAGTCCTCCCCAACTTTGGATTTGCTGGTAGCTGTGGTGGAGTACAAAACAATTATGCATACACCGCGGCTGGGTTTGTGCTCCAATTGGCTTAAAAATCTGGAATCGGGAGCAGAACTGCGTGGAGTGGTCAAAAAAGGAACCATGGTCTGGCCAAAGGACTTAAACATTCCACTAATCATGGTCGGACCTGGCACGGGCATCGCTCCATTTCGCAGTATCATCCAAAATCGATTGCATGCTCAATCAACAGGTTCCTCCATTGGTCCCTTGATTGTCTTCTTTGGTTGCCGGAATAGGACAGCTGATTACCACTTTGAAAAGGACTTCTCCACGTGGACCACAGCCAAGCAGGTTGAAGCTCACATAGCCTTCTCGAGGGATCAGGACCATAAGGTGTATGTCCAGCATTTAATCACCAAGAATGGTGCTCATTTGGCAAAGCTTATCAAAGACCGGAATGCGTTTATTTACGTGGCTGGAAATTCTAACAACATGCCAAAGTCTGTAAGAGAGGCATTTATAGAGATTCTCGATGGCGATGCGGATTACGTGGATCTGATGATCAAGCAGCGGCGATATCAGGAGGAGACCTGGGCGTAAAAGCTATTTTATTTGAGTATATCATTCTATTTGTACAGTTTTGGACGGAAATTATATTGTTAAAATCTATATAAGGCATTCAAAAGTCTTCCAGCAACTTTTCCGAAGATGTGTGGCAAAACGGACAATAACCTTTTTGCAACACCTGCAGCTCAAAATCTTCGGCATAGAATAGCTGAAAAAGGATTTCTTATAAAACCAAATATGGATTTTCGGTTTTTTGGTTGAACTCACCAGCAGACATTGGGGACAATAAGTAACCTGTAAATCAGGTAATATATTGCGATAGTAAACATTTCGCACATTCTTTCCTCTCCGTTTGAGGATCAACACATGATTGGGATCTATGGCACGCAGACCATTGCGATCCAGGCTTAATGGCAAGGCACTGGCCACATCCTCGTTGAATGGATCCGAATCCTCGGCGTGTTTTGCAGGAGCCAGCAGCAAACGCTCGGCCTCCGAATCTGATATATCCACTTCTGGATAAAATTGTACTAAGGGTAATATTTCTGAAAAGTACATTTGTAAATTAGGAGGAAAGTAAAAACAGGAGAAAGTTCATTACCAAAAGAAACGAATGAGAAAATGTAATCCTGCCTACAGGTAGGGCAGCAATTGCTGTTCAAATGTTGACTGTAGTTGGAGCACTTGTAGCAAAGTGGCAGGATCTCCTCTGGATCGTTAAAGCCACTCTTGCAGGCCTTGCTGTTCAAGAAATTGAGCTAAAAAAGTTAATTTTAATTAGTCATTTTGGAACAGAAAAAAACCTTTAACTACTCACATCGATCTGCTCTTGGACTCCTGCTGGTGGCTTCAGGGATTGCAATCTTTTGTTGATGAGAAGGCACAATTTGTTGGCCTGCAGAAACTTGGCTTGCTTGGCCAAAGTAAAAAGAACCGAACTAAAAGCACAAATAAATTGACATAGATTCAGTTTATACATTTTAAAACAATAACTTACAACATGCTGACTCCTTTGGGCACACCTTTGTGTTCCACTTCGTTGAGTATAAAGCGGCTCACGTTAAAAAGACTTACTGGGGAATGTGTGGTAAAAGGTTCCTTCATATAAGAATATATGACGCTGTAGGCATAATAAACCTTGGCAATACGTAAATGATTTTTGTACTCTGTCAGGTGGTGGTCAATGGGATTTTGTTCACTGAGAAAGAGCAATGTTAAAATATTACTTAAAAGGTCTCAACTAGAAATAGTGTTTAACATACTCCTTTGCATGATATACATCTAAATATTGCTTGGCCAACAGCCAATAAAAATAACTGGCATCCAAATAGCGCTCCTCCACGATGGCCGTATTGCTCAATTGTTTGAGCAAACGATTGGCTTCCTTGGTACGTCCTGCCTTTAAATAGGCTGAAAACAAAAATATTCATTCAAGATGATAATAAATAATATATAATAATAAACATTAACTTGTTTATTTATATACTAAAAGCACTTACCCTGGTGTGCCTCTATAAACTGATCCGTTTCGGCCAGCCATTGTCCATGTTGGTAGTGAACTGTGGGGAGTAGTTCTGGCAAAGAATCTGCCAATCGAAAAGCCTCCGGCCAGTCACGAACCTCAATATGCAGCTGCACGACCTGGGCCTCATCCCCCAGTTTTTTGAAAATCTCAGCAGCCAGAGGAAGAGCTTTGAGGGTCTTCAGATTCTGGGCAACTGACTCCAGAGCATCGCGTTCCGTTAAACTCAACCGACGTCCAATATCGAATAGACTGCAACAAGGATAGTTAAATTAACAACAGGATTTGAAATCTAATTTCTTTGATTAACTTACACGTCGGCCCATCCCTGCTCTGCAACAATGTCAATAGCCTTCTGGTTCTCGCCAGCTGAAAGCAAAAGTTCGGCAGCAGCACGCGGTTCCTTGACCGAGTAAGCCCACTCCGCACGCTTGCGTACCAGTTCCTTTTTCTCCTGCGCTGTCCCGTCCTTGATATACTCCTGGGCCAGATCGAACATCCGCAGGTCTGTGTACATCTCAAGTGCTCTCGATGACTGGCCGCATTTAAGAAATAGACGAGCTGCTTCCTTGAACTTTCCTGCAAACGCGCAGTTCTCCGCCAAAAGGACTTCTTTAGGCACAGCCGACCGCTGCTGCTGATCCCGCAGCTCACCGATCAGTTTAAGCCAGGGAAGGTTCCTTACTTTGACGTAGGCATCGCGGGCTATGTTGATATGAAGGGCCTCTAGAGCGGATTGGGCCAATCCCTCCCAGTCGCTGGTAGTCACACCAAGACAAGCAACCTGGTAAGCTTCCCTGTAAATCAGTAAATATTAAAATGGGTTTTAATATAAGCGTATACTACTTACTCAAACAATCCAGCTTCGATGAACTGCCACATGGTGGAACCCAGAGCCAGCGGCGTATTGTGCATGATGTTCCCCCGCAAACAAAAGGCAGTGGCTCCACAAAGTCCCACCACCACGCCATGCATGTTCTGCGGTGCCCTTGGTGGCAGATTTCCCACTCTAACACTTAGTCCACCCGTGGTATGGGTATAGCAGAGCATGGAATCTAGATGTGTGTTCCATGTGACGCTGTTTACACCCGTATCTTGGTACAAAATCGTGTCATTGATTATGTCCCTTACCACCAGACGACCCACATCGTCCACAACGGCGATCTTGCTGCGCTTTGAGTTTATATCCAGGCAGCGGACCGCAGACACAGCTGTGGTGATCAGCAGGGGCAGCGAGTTGTTGAGAAAGATCCTGAACACCTGGCCATTTTTGAGGCCCACCATCAGTCCTTCCCTTCCCACAGGTCCACCGGTGACTTTAATGTATCTTATAAACGAGTCCATGATCCACTCTCGTTGCAGGACACCGATAAAATCCAGGCATTGTAGTCGCTTCTCCTGGCAGAGGACGATGTGACGACCGCAGACCACCAGCAAACTGCAGTCAAACTTCTGCTGGATCTTTTCTCTCACTTTATAGTGCATGGGCTGATCCTCTCCAGAGCTCAGTTCATAGAGAACAACACGTTCTGGGAGCTGAACCGCCAATCGATTCCTATAGATGGCTATCTTCTGGACCAAATCTCGACACTTGATGCGAACCTTTTGACCAGAGATCAAGTGCTGAATGATCACGTCGCACATGTTTTCACGGAAGGCATACCGCTCCCTATACAAAGCATGTACGGTGCTCGAAGCGATGTTGAAGCAGGCCAGTGTTCCATCCTGGCAGCCAATGGTGTAGGACTGGCCATTCGGATGCAGGGCCACCGTCCAGATCCAGGTATCGAAACTGTCGCCCAGCGTGCCCAACCGAATGCCCTCTCTGGTAAAGAAGTGGAGTCCTCCAGTACAGCCACCGACCAAGCAGAACTCTCCATTGGGAAAGTACTGCAGACACAATGGATCGAAGCCCAGTGTTCGTTCCTTGCCAATCATCTGGCCACTCAAGGTGTGAAACGACAGCGTCTGACTCCAGTCTACGACGCCGATGGTGTCCACACTACCGCTTGCCGGACAGCACTGCACACTGAACACGTTACTATTGGGGCCACCTGGTCTATCTATTCGCCCTTTCTCCTCGCCCAACTTATTCCTTATGGAAATGGTGCCATTGGCCAGGCCCAGTATCAGGTACTGCCCGTCATTCGTCCAGGAGCAGCCATTCACGCGGGCGGATATCTTGTACTTCTGCACCGCCTTCTGATCCGCCGACCAGAAGGCGAAGTCCGACAAGGAGCACGAGGCCAGGTGGTGCGAAACGGGATTGAAGCTCATGCACTGAATGGAGTCGCCGTGCCTGTGGAATATGTTTACATTATATGTTGCATTAATATTAATAAATTAATTGAATAAAATAAAAAAATATCATTCTGAACCACAATTATTATATTATTGAAAATAAAGCAGATTTATAAAAAAAGATTGAATAGTTTTTATTTTTCTCAGTCTGTTACATTTCTAATAACAAATTAAATGGTTTGAAAAAGCCGATTTAATATATTGTGCTTATTGAATTGAAATAATATTGTATTACTATATTGAAATCAAATGAAAAATCATTCAATGGATCTAATATTGTATTGATTTCTTTCCTGTGTACTCACGAATATTTGAGCAGTCCCTCGAGCTGCGGTGACCACACGATGACCATTTTGTCGGAGGCTCCGCTGGCGAATCTCTTGCCATCCCTCGAGTAGGCCACACAATTAACCGTATCCTTGTGGGCTTTTAAGGTGTTCAACAGGGATCCGTCGTTGGGATCGTAGATGAGCAGCCGATCCCCCGCTGCCACCACCAACTGGCTGCCATCGGGAGCATAGCAAACATTGTGGACACTGGAAAAAGGGGTTTACCGATTACCGTTATGGAGCAACAGGTTGTGGTTTATCCGGGCGAGAAAGCTCTACCTGATCTCGTTTTCTTTGCTGTTGGGAAACTCGATGCGTTCCAGCCATTTCAAAACGCCCCTCATTATTGCACAAAATGAAATGGTTAATCCTGCATAGTTGGTAAAAATTCCAAGATTCAGGTGCGTTGTTTACACACAGATTCCATGGCAACCAAATCCACAACAAAAGTTGGCGTCTCGGCTAGTGATGACACTTTGTCTGGTTTTTCCGTTGGTCATGGCTTTTTAAAGCTAAAAGAAGTGATGATACAAATCACTTGTTAAATATACCTTTAAAATAAGTAAAAAAAAAGAAAATAAAAGTATTTCATTAAGTTATTTTTGGGCTCCGTAACAAATAAACATAATTTTAAAGTTTTTTAAATGCCCGTTAAAAGATGTTTATTTTAAATTAGTTGGCAACACGGTATTCAGCAGTATGACCACAGTGTCAATACCGAATAATACCAAAGTTCTTCCACCCAAAATAATAGTCAAGAATTATTTTTTTTATTTCAGCAACAATTGTTTGTTTTTAAAGGAACTCTGCATACAAACGCTTGAAAATGAACAATCTCGACAGTTCATTGCAGGCGCACAGCAAATTGGAGAAGGTACATACAGCTGTCAACCTTAGAAACCCTTATATTAATAATAAATCTCCGTAGGAAGCTACAAATTTGGCTCAGCTGAAAGATCGAGTGGATAAATATCATGATCTCTCCACTCAAATGTCCAGTATCCTTACAGTATTCGAAAAGCGCCTGGGAAACCTGGAGCAGACCATACTACCCGTTTACCAGGAGACGGAGCAGCTCCAGCAAAGGCAGCAGAGTAAGATTAATGATTACCCCACAGATTCACTGAAAACTGATGGGTCACCGCCTTTTTTTCCAGATCTGGAGGCCACTCTAAATTGCCTGGAAAGTGTTCTGTCCCACTACGATGTCTCCCAGGAGGTGTGTCAGTTGATTCACCAGGGTCCGCAGGAGGGAAACATCTCCGTCTTCCTGGATGCACTGGCCAAACTGCGAGATGCCGATGATTACTTTCGGCACAGCAATTCCCAGAGTGTGGAGCTGGAAAATGTCACCAGTTTGTTCAATACCGGATGCGAGGGTCTCAATCAGCATTATAGTATGCTGCTAAAGAAGCACAGTGCTCCGCTGAAGCCTGTGGAACTGCTGGATCTTATATACATCGAGGATGACTCCAGTGATGAGTACACCTCCTTCCGACAGCTGTCGCAAACCACTCGCGAAGAGCTGTACACCATTTCTCACTGGCTGGAGCAAAATTTGAGGGAGTACACCCACATCTACGCCACGGAACGCGGCGATGTGGTGCTCCGATCGCTTCAGCTGCTCAAGGATCACCAGAAGAGCAACAGCTGGGGTCACGAGGCACTGGTGAGTAATTTTTAAACTTTTTTCGGACATTACAAGTCAATAGCTGTTTTGCTTTATGTAGATTCTATTGGCTATTTCCTGTATTAAAACTAGTATTCAATTTTTTAACTAGTAGGATGTATGCCTTGTGATAGAAATAGATAGATATGTTTTGTACCTATAAGGTTTTTTTTTTATAAATCTACATAAATCATTTTAAAAAGCAAAGTAAAGAATCTTATATATCATATTTAAACTGATGCTTAAAACAATACTGAGTCAGTAAAACAAAAATTGTAAATTGTAATTGTATTTATTGATAAAGACTAGAAAATGAGTCAGTTTCTTAATTCTTTAAAATTTAACTATACATATATATTCGTGTGTATTGGGAAATTGGTTTTAAAAGAAAGTACACCAATTAAGCGATATGTGGCACGTAATGGTAAAAACTTAACCTTTCCCATCGCTGATGATTTCGAATAACGGAATCGGTTCGAAAAAGCTCCTCGAGCAGCGGCTATGCCAGTCAATTTTAATGGCCGCCATTTGTCAGCTTGAGTTTGCGAGGAAAGCGTCGTTTTCTGTGCCACGATATATAAACTCTAGTTAATTAAAAATGGAGAATTGCCTTACACCCACAAACAAGACAAAAATTACTTTTAACCGCACTCCAACTTTAAAAGAGCGCAGGTGGAACACCCTAAGGGTGAACACCTCCAATGTGCGGTGCTCTACGCCTATATACGGGAACTTCCGTTCGCCCAATCTCTCGCCCATCGAGAATATGGGCACGAAAAAGAGTCCGGCATCGCCCATGCTGTTTGGAGCCTTCAAGAAGCAGCCGATGAAGATGCATCATCAGCAGCACCACCAGTATAATCCTCGCAATCAGTTGAAACCCCCGATTTTCAATCTGCCCAAACCGCAGGAGGAGATTAAGGAGCCGGAGCGAGAAATAAAGAGCAGCAGCAGCCCGGAAACCTGTTCGGATGACTCAAATATGGAGACCTCGTTGACCTTGGAGTCGCGTCGTCGTTCCATTATAGCTTCAAACCACTCGTACGCTGTAAACCATGCCGCCAATGTGGAGCAAATTCTCATGCATATGGGTCTGGAGAACTATGTGACCAACTTCGAGGAAGCCCACATTGATCTGGTAGAACTGGCCTCCATGAAGCGGGCTGATCTTATCAAAATTGGCCTAAACACTGATGAGGATTGCAACCGCATCATGGAAGTTCTTGATACTCTCTAAACGGATCGCTGGCAGGTCCAACTTATCATCGTAGCTTTAGATTAAAATGTTTTATGTGAAGAGAAACTGTGTCTTATTAATATATGTGTATACTTAAATAGGTTTAGTATAGTTTTTTGTAAAGGACCTGGTGTCTTATGGCTTCTATTATATTTTGCAAGCAAGCTGAAAAAATGTATTTTAGGTGATTATCAGAATTATGCTTTTAAATGTTTAAATAAACAAAAAACTTTTATTGTATCCTTTGTGTGTTAATAAACAAATTGAAAAAATAAAATATAATTTAATGGTAATATCACTAAAATGGCTTGTTTATGCATTGAGAACCATCAAAATAAGGAATAGACATTTATGAACTCGAATAGACATTTTTACAAAATGTAAAAGATAAAAAATCAACTTTGATTTGTTATTTTACAATACTTAAATATTTTTACATTTTTGCAGAGACCTCGTCACAGTGGACGCCAAGCGGAACCCAAAAAGACCACCTCCGCCCGTCTACAGCAAATGTAAGATCGAATCGTATTTCTTAACAGAAATTGACTTATTTTATGAACTTTAGATTTGAAAAGAAGGCCAGTCAGTTTTATCTGCGGGCGACCCAGACCATTGAGCAGTCCACTGGCTTCTCTATTAAGAAAGCATCTTCGCACAGTGACCATTTGACCTCCGAGGATCTAATGGATGGAGATCAGGAGCTGGACAAGTATTTGGTCATGCTGCTGGGACTACAGCGACTGCTCAACTGGGAGCGAGCTATCATGCACGACATTATTCCTCAGTCAAAGCACAACGAAGTATTCGCCCGCCTGGCATACAACGCCATCGAGCTGGTGGTCAAGGATGCTGAGGCCATCACTCAACGAATCCTGCGATCCATCTCCCGCAAGGAGTGGCCTTTGGCACTGGGTATATTTTCTGCCTTGAAGAGGGTGATCCTTCTGCAGCCGGACATTGACCGCACCTATGATCCTGCACAGCGGGAGCAACTCAAAAAAGTTCTGAATAAGTTGCAGCACACTGGAGCCAAGGCATTGGAGCACTTCCTGGACGTGGTTAAGGGTGAATCCAGCACGAACATTGTGGGCCAGAGTAATGTTCCAAAAGATGCCACCGTTCACGAGCTGACCTCCAATACGATCTGGTTTATTGAGCACTTGTACGAGCACTTTGATGTTATTGGATCGATTTTGTCGCAGGATGTCCTATACTCCACGCAGCTGGATACTATTCTGATGAAGAAAGCGCTGCCTGGCGATGAACGCAATAAGGCTCTATTAGCCATTTATATTAGTAAGTGAAAATTGGAAACTTTTCTCAGCACCTTTCTAAATCCTATTTTTATTTTTAATAGAGAAAGCGTTGGCAGAGCTGAATCTTTCCATCATGAACAAGTGCGAGCAGTACAATGACCAGGCAACCAAGCACCTGTTTCGTCTCAACAACATCCACTACATCCTAAAGTCGCTTCAGCGCTCCAACCTTATTGATTTGGTCACCCTTGCAGAACCGGAATGCGAGCACAGCTACCTGGAGATGATTCGTGAATTAAAGGCCAGCTACCAGAAGACCTGGTCCAAAATGCTACTGGGCATCTACTCTTTGGATGAACTGCCCAAGCCTGTGGGCGGCAAGGTCAAGGACAAGGATCGCAGTGTCCTCAAGGAGAGATTCTCTGTAGGTTTATGGTTTTCATAAAGCTTAATAGGCCTAGACATAATCGGATTTAAAATTATATTAATTCTACTATGAGTATTAATTTTAAACTATAACAAATTTATATGGAATATGGCTAATAGGATCCCATATTTGAAATATTTTTCTTTTCTGATTCAGAACTTCAACAAGGACTTTGAGGAGGCTTGTAAAATCCAGCGAGGCATCTCCATACCCGATGTAATTCTGCGTGAAGGCATCAAACGTGATAATGTGGAGCACATAATACCCAAATACAATAGATTCTTTGAAATGTAAGCTTATAAAGTGTTGTTCTATGTATCAATTACTAATCATTTTTTATAATTCTTAGTTACTCTTCTGTGCAATTCAGCAAGAATCCCGACAAATACGTCAAGTACAGACCGCACGAGATAAATGCTATGCTGAGCAAGCTCTTCGATGACTCCGCCTAGTTTATAGTGGCAGGCCTGGGTTTAAGTGCATTCCTTGTAAGTTCGTTGGGGGCTTTAATTCAAACTCAATAAATATCGATTTTAAAAAAGTACAATACAAGACTATAGCCTAAAAATATTAAATGCCAAGTGAAATGAAGGCGCCACGCATACATCCTAGTAGAGGAAGTTAGTGGATGGTGCTTCGGGGCGGCCACAGGCGCCGTAGTAGTTGACGTTGACCGTCTGGTTCGCCCTGCAGTTCTCGATCTCCAGGAAGCAGTCGTTCAAATAGGTTTTATTGTCGCTGCCGCAAACAGGCTCGAATTCCCTGGGACAGATGCGGGCACATCCCTTAAGCTGGAAGGCGGCCAGGCAGCGTTTTAGCGGCACCACAAACACGTGCTTGCCGCAGTTCTCCTTGCGCATGTGGCACTCGGACTTGTACAGATTGTTATCCGATCCGCACACGAAACTTGGCGGCTGGGCATCACAATCGGACTCACAGTCTGCGGTCAGGGCGCAGTTCTTGAGCGATACGGAAACCACACGGAGATTGCAAGTGCGGCGCTTGAACTCGCACATGGAGGCGAAGGTATTGCCATCCGATCCACACACCGGCTGCTGCTCCAAATCCGCCCGGGTGCAGGCATCCCCGCAGTCCTTGGTGGGCGAATTTAGATCCGTGCAGGGCCCAATGTGAGCCAGATTTACGCCGCGTCTGGAATAAGGTTAATTATCAACTGTTAAAAAATTTAGCTTACATGTATTGCAATGCAGTTTATTTTATTAAATTTAATAACAAATCCCCCGATCCATCAACAAATGTTTACATATAAATAGTGTTCACATTAAATATTCACCTTTTAAATATATTACCAATTTTTTTTAGATAATGCGTCTATAAAAAACGTACAACCTTTTATAAAGGTGTATCGGGAAATATATTTGAAAGACTTTTTTACCCGTTTACATATCTAACCCCCTATAAGTAATTCTCAAAGTCAAAGTCTCAAATTCTCAATGTCATGTACTTACAGACAGGTGGCATGGGCCAGTTCGCACTCATTGCTGTAAGTTTTGGCATCCGTGCCGCAGAGTTTATCGTTTCGCTTTGAGCTGAAGATGGAACCGAACAGGCTGTTAAAGTCCTTGCAAGGAGGCAGTTGCTTGCAGCGAGTCAGTCGACCCTTGCACTTGTCCATGCTCACTTTTTGGATGGACTTACGCTGGGGACTGAAAGATCAAATTGAGCCAGGATTGTACTTTTACCAACTCATTCAGACTCACCCGCAGTTGAGCATCTTCAGTTCGCAGAGAGATGAGTAGATATTACCATCGCTGCCACACACGTACTGCGATGAGGAATTCGACTCCGCCTTGGGACACTCTGTGGGACAGGCATCGGAGGCACTGCCGTGGCGCTCCTGCGGCATGCAGAAGGACAGGGGAACCTCGAAGACGTGTTTGCCACAATTGGAGGAGCGCATCTTGCAGGGACTGGCGTACAGACGTCCATCGGAACCGCACGTGGGCCTGGCCACCCGCCAGCAGGACTCTCTACACATCCTCGTGGATTGGCAGTGCTTTCGACTGGTCTTCACCACACCCTGTCCACACGTGTGCAGCTTCATCTCGCACGTCGAGTTGTACACATTGCCATCCGATGAGCAAACCGGTCCATCCTTGGGTGCACTATTACAATCCACCGGACAGGACTCGCGGACAGCACTCGTATTGCTGCAAGGACCCACGTGCGAGAGCTTCACGGCTGCCAGTCCCACGCGACAGGATTGCACCCTCAACATGCAGCGGTTCAGGTAGGTGCGTCCGTCCGTTCCACAAACCGGATCCTTTTCCGTGCTACAGCGATGCTTGCAATCCGAACCCTTGGATCGCTCGCAGCCGTCGCGAACATCCTTGATCAGGGACACTCCGCTCCGGGAGCAAGTCTTCTTGCGCAGCTCGCAGAGATTGGCGTAGATCAGGCCGTCACTGCCGCACACGGGTTCAGCTCCCACTGTTATGCTCGGTGGACAGGATCGGGGACAATTTCCGGTGGTGGAGGCACTCGCCCGGTTCCGCCTGCCCATCTGGACCAGCTGCTGCTGCTCCGTTTCCTCGCGGAGGAGCGACTCCAGAGCCGCCGCCGCCGCTCCTGGTGCCTGCATCAGCGTGGACGACAACTCCGGCTGGGCATCCTGGCGGTAGTTGATCAGCAGTGAGTCCGGCGCCGCATCCGCACTGCGGTAACGGATGACGGGTGCCTGTGCCGGCAACCGAATGATCTTGATGGGGGAGTCTGTTACAGCGCCTGTTTGGAAAGTTAGAAAGTGGATAATTGTTAATAACTAATTGGGTTTTTCATTTGGTAATATTATTTCCAAGGCTCGTTTATTTAGGTTCCGAATTGTGATAATCACTCAAAAACTAGCAGTTTCATATTTCGAATACTTAAGCAAGAGTTCAATTTCACTCCCTTAACTTTAACATTTCTCTAAAAAAAAGTTCAACGATCTGAAAAAAAATATTATCAAACTTCGATAAATATTAAAATTTAGTAAATTAGTTGATATATTTTTAATAATCAGAAAATAAAGGATGACGCTTTAGGATATAGACCATGCCTAATCGACAAAAGTTTCTGAATGGTTTGTAAGAGACGGCATTATAATAAAATTGTTTAAACTATTGGTAAATGCTAACGAGCAAAGCATTGATGACTTGATAGTTTGTAACATTTATACATGATTAATAAACCACTTATTTCCCCTTTTGGTTAGCACATTTTCCCACTTTCAATGTGTTTCTCCGAACTTTCCAGGGTAACTCGAGCTCGAACCCGCTCAAAAAAAAACTTTCCCTCCGAATTTTCCTCCGCTTTATTTTGCCGCATGCGGAAGAGTCTGCTCTGGGCATACAAATGTCAGATTAGCCGCACGATCATAGGGCATTTTGCGCAGTTGTGACCCACTGTTTGGCCCACCTCCAAACCTTGCTACCCCCCTCCCGTTCCGACTCCCCCGCATCGTCCAAGTTCTGGAGTGATCGCATGACCGACTCAAGTAACCAGCCATTAACTTGAATAATTCTAGAGGTTGGAGGAATATGAGGAATGGGGGGCAGTTCCCTTACTAACGGTAACGGCAAATGTTACCCGTCTTCAAATCTCGATTCCAAGTAAACGACACAATGGCATTTATGTTTGGGGATTTGAGCACAAGTATTATTATACATACTATCAACGACCTCCATCTATAATTGTTCATGCTAATCCCCTCCAGAAATCATAAGCTTAATCTGCGCTAAAAACTGCAAGTGAAATTTCCACACTAATTGCCTCCGGCACCGAACATTTCTGTTGTCTTTGGTCGGATGTGGCACCGCTGGTTTGGTTTGGTTTGGTTTGCCTAGCCTGGCTTTTGCTTTGTTTGGATTTGTTTGCAAAGAAAGCTGTGAGAGCCGCCTCCGGAGGAAGCACTCAACTCATTTATACATATACCCACTAGCAGTAGAAAATCTATTAGCGCTCTTTGAGGCTGCCACGATTGTTTGGCTGCGATAATTGAACCCACGTTCATTATTCCAATTTGTTGCTGCCGGCCATAAAGATGGAAATTTCAACATCTAGCCAGCCAGCCAGACGCATTCTCATCTTAATGGACTCAGACTCGGAGTCAGTCTCTGGCTGGATTCAAATCCGAATCGGAATCTGAGGCTGAATCGGAGGCAGCGAAGCCATTAAGCTCGGAGAAAATTAAGCGGCGTTAGGAATTAATGCACATGTAAACGATCCGCTGGAATGGTCAGAGGCAAAAGCCGAGACCACAGGCTATCTCATTCAGCACTGCAACTATGCGACCTCAACCGCCCCACCCACTCTCACCATTCCTGCACTTAAAGAAAAATTGGAGCGAATCGAGTTATAAGCCTGGGAAAGTCCGTCAAGCAAAGATAATATGATTGAGTCTGAAAAAAGATGTCTGATTAAGCTTATTTGAACCTTTTAGTTAAGTAAAACTCCATTAAGGCAGACTTAAAGATTGCCAATTACTTATGTTGTATTATAACGATATACAAGATAATAGATCTATTTAACATATTGTATTTACAATAAAGGTTTCCCCGCTGAGATTGAAATAAAAAGGTTCAATTAAAACCAACTTCTAGTTCCGTAAAACTCTCTGCTTTCAATTTTAAGGCTTTGAAACCCATCAACAAACTATAAGTAGAAACAAATATCCCAAGAATAATGGTTTTCCAGATAGAATTACCATTTTTATACTAGATTCTGGTTTCCTTTTTTTTAAATATATGATTAAACTCTATAAATGAAAAGTTATAAGAAAAGAACAAGAATACAAATATTAGATACAATTGATATAGACCTGAAGTCCTTCAGCTCCCTTTAATGACTTAAATTTCTCAAATCTAACGATGAGCTAGAAGTAATAACTATTATCTCTTAAATAAAGATCTTTGGAGCTACGACTTAAATTAAATTAAAACTCAATTTAGAGTTAATTAATTTTCTCTACCCTTTAACTTGTTTAAATAAATGAAATATAGATTTCTTCAAGTGCAGACACATTTTCCTGGCCTCCAGCGAGTGGCTGCCAGGCTCCTGCCTATCGGATGCCATCAATTGCAAAAAAAAGGCGAGAGAAATAATAAAAGCAGCCACCGTATAATTTTCAAAAGTGGAAAAATCCAGCAACCAACGCACTGCATTGCTGGGCAGGGACTTTTGCATGATATATACATTGCATATATACAATGTGTGTGCTCGGTTTGCTCTGGTTCGGTGTGGTGTGGTGCGGTACAGTGGAAAGCAGTGGCAAGACCAAGCCCAGAGATGAATCACGGCGCCACTGATTGAGGCCATTATGTATGTGAGATCACTGCGTCCAAAACTAATTGATCTTTCACCCATCAATCTCATCAATCTGCAATGGAGTGCTGTTATCAATTAACCAAATGATCGCGCTTACAAGTAAAACAAATCATTTCGCTCCGGGTCAACTCTAAACGAGGTATGGTATTCCCCGTCCTCCCAATTTAACCCGCTGTCAGTTTTTCACGATTTTGAGCTCGTTTCCACTGTGCGGTCAACTTGATTTCCCCATGAACTATTCTCCCTTGGCTTCTGTGTCTCCCCTTCGTGCTTTTAATGAATTTATTTGAATGTTGGACAAATTGTGAACGAAAATATTTACGAGCGTGCTGTGCGTCGCGGAGTGATGGTGTGAAATGGGGAGTTCGGGGGTCTGGGGGCCTCTGGGGGTGCCTCTCGTGTGTGCCAGTTTACATTCACTTTGTGCAAAGTAGTACCTTAGAAATTAATAGCTGCTACGACGGCCTTTCTACCACCGCACAGCTGTAGGTCTTAGATCCGGACCCCGATTCACCTTCTCCGTTTCAACACCCAGAGAAATTAAGCGGTAATTGAGACAACAATCGCAGTCTAGTCTGTCCACAACTTTCCTTTGACTCAAGATTATTTGGCGTTTTTCACTTGAGAACTTGAATTTCCATAGAACTCGGCTTATACATAGTATTATGTCCAGACTCTATAGCCTAAAGAACTTGCTTAAACCTATCAAAATGTTTAAAAAGTGTAACCGTTACAAACTTTTTAAAACGCTTAAAAGATTTTTCCTATTATTTTAAAAATATGCTACTGTGATTTAAAGCTAGCTTAATGTGGAACTGCAAACACTTCCATACCAATTAAAAAGATGAGCGAAATGTCATTTAATCAAATGAATTTCCGTTCAATTTACTTCACTTAAGTCAAAGCTTTCAAAACCAAATCAATTAAACTGAAAAAAATTGTATTCTCCTCTTTGAATTGTCCTAAATTATATAAAATGGTATTCGCTTGTTTTATTTTTAAAGCAACCATTTCAAAAGTGACAAATAGCGAATTTTATGGGAAACTTTAAAGTGTCTCAATTTAATGAATTAAATGGGCATTTGTCTTAATCAGCAACCAATTTATTTTGTTTTTGTACTATTGATTTTTTCTTTGGCTTGGTAGTCTTGAGCTTTCTTACTTACACCCATTTTCGTTTTTATGATAATTAAAAAAATGTTATAAGCTGAAAAAAAGTTTATGGTCATTTTTCATTAAGAAAATGGGACTTATGCTATCTTAAAATCAAAAAAATATTTCGACTTTAAAGTTTAAGCTCTGATTAAATTCTGACTAAACAATACTAGTAGATTAAATCCGATACCCTATGACTGTATCATAAAGATTTAGTAAATTTTCTTTTGTAGGATATCATTTTTATTTTGCCTAGAAAATATTAGTTTTCGATACCCAACATAAGCTTTCTTTTTCTGCTCATTTTCATTCCATCTTCCCCATTTTTTTTTTGATTTCTTGCAGTGTATTGCATGTAAGACTTACCATGGGTGGTTGACGCTAATGCCGCCAACATGAACACGGCCAGCAGTGCGCCAAACAGCTGTCGACTCAGGCTGAGGCTGAGGCTGTGGTCGTGGCTGTGGTCGAGGCTTTGGCTGCGACTCTTGATCTGGCTTAGAGTCTGGCTAAATCTGTGGCTCTGGCTGTGGGCCTGCGTTTGGGCTGGTTTTGGGGCGGGGGGATGGAGATGCTGCGACTGGTACATTTTCGCTGTCTGCTGCACTTTTCCTGCTATTTGTTTGTTGTCTTTTTTTCTGTGCGTGACGGGCGGCGCTTTCGCTCGTTAACAATTGAAATTGAAATAGTAGCAAACTTTTATGCGGCTGAAGTTCACGAAGAAAGTTTTTTTTCTTCTCTCAATCTCTCTAGTATTAAGCTATATAAATGCTCGTAATACCGCTGAAGCTGTTCGAATTAACGGTATTCTTGCGGTCATTTGGGCTTGGCCTGCTCTTCTTCTTACCCAGTATTGCCCTCTCTTTTGCCCTTTTATGAGTTCATTCGTTTGCCTATTAACATTAAACCTGTGTATCTGTCCCTTTCTTTTGCCTGCCGGGCACTTGACCTCTCACACAATCGCACAATGGAGCATAATTTCTTTTTTATCGCCTCGGCTTTATTTCTTTCTTTTTATTTTTGCACGGCCCGCCTTTAATTTGATTTCAATTACGTTCTGGTAAGGCTTTATTTTTTCTTTTTTGTTATTATGCACACAAAACAATTCGCTTTTGTTCGTTACTCTTTCGCCGTTTGAATTTGACTTTGATGCGCGCTCTTCGAGTTTCGATTCGCATATGAAAAATGATCTCTCTTTTGGATTTGGTTTGGATGCTGCTACTGTTTCAGCCTCTGTCGCTGCCTCTGCCGACGTCTCTGCCGAAGTTTACTGCGACGCCGACTGCAACTGCGACGATTGCATTTTGTATTTCATTTATTGTTGTTGAATGAATGAATGAATGGTCACTAACACACACGCGCTCGCATCCGATTTGTACAATTTGTATAGTCGTCTTCGCTTTTTTTTGTTGTATTTTCTTGTATTATTTTCCCTTGCTTTTTAGGCCTTTGTAGTTTGAAGTCACCCAGAAATCAAATCTCGGAAAGCTAAGCTCCAATTGCGACTGAAAGGTTTGACAATGCGCCGACGAATGGCAAAAAATTTGCAATGAAAAGAAATTTATATGGGTGAAAGGCAGCGCAGTCGTCGGCGGCAGAGCAGAGCATCCAAAGCTCTCACATGTAGTTGTCGTTGTTGCCGATGCACTCGAAGAAAAAGCGTTTACCTAATTGAAATTTTATACAAGAACTTTTTGTATTTAATGCATTTTCAGAAAAAACTAATCTAAAAATGCAACATTATTTGATTTTTTAAAGTACCAATTCAATTGTTAAATTTCAAAATAATGTATTTATTCTTTTAATGAATTTACAATAAATTTGTCATGGTGCTATTAGTATACTCAAAAGATTTCATAAAAATATAAGTTTTTAAAACTATATAACTATAAAGACTCCAGAATTAGGGTTACGCAATTTATTGAAACTCTAACATTTACAAATTGGTTAAAACTTAATGTAGGTTTTCTTAATTTAAAATATATATTAATTTCAAAGATAACATTGCATTATATTAAGAGATAAATAGGAATTTATCTATAAACTACTGACTTATTGAAAGTATCTAGAATGGAAAGCAATATTGTATTTCTTTTTCATCAATAATCATTCTTAATGTTGGGTTTTTATTTATTAAGATTACGATTATTTTTGAAAGAATAAAAATATTGCTAAGCATGTAGAATCAATCAAATCATATTACATACAAAAATTGCATTTTAAAACCACTCAAAGAAAGTACTTAAAGTACGAATTTTGAATATAAAATTTCGCTGCCAGTCAAAGTGCATATTTAAACAAAGGTAAAAGCTATACAAAAATCTTTACAAATTTTCTTCCTTTTGCTCAATGCCAACAGTTTTTCTTGTGCATTGTTGCCAGGCTGGGCATATTGATTAAATGGAGTTGTCGGTATTTAAAATAACAACTTGGTCATGTCTGCTGGCCTAATCGGTTTTGCGTACAAATTTAAATTGCCAAAAGTGGCAGCAAAATGCATCCAAAAAGGCGAGCCGCATTTGAAATTATAACGCACACACACGATCCGATCCGATCAGATCCATCCGTGCCTCTCCTATATCCAGCATTCAACATTCAACATCCAATATCCACGATCCACGATTCAGTTTCAGTGGTTGCGGCAGTGGCGCATTGGCAGTTGCAGTTGCAGTAGAAAGTGCAGCCTGGAAGCTGTGTTTATAGACTTGTAGACTTTAAAGCCATAAATTTTACGCCTCAGCGGCTGTTGCGAATAAGGGTCACACACACACACTCTCCAAAGCACACACACACATACACCTCGCACAGTGTCCTGGTTTTCAAAATTGATTTATTTTATTTGTTCAAATTGTGTTTTCATATACGAAATTGGTTATTATTATCTTCCTGGGGTGGCTGGTTTATTACATCCTGTCTTCCTTTCTATTTTGAAATTTAACTGCAAGCCGTAATGTTACAAAATAGTATAAGCGGTAGGTTAATTAGTTTACTCTTACACAAATTAGCTTTCACTTGTTTAAAATATTAACTTCCTTTTTAAGACTTTACCACTCAAAACAAAAATGGGAACCCGATAACTTTAATTTTCAACTTTTAGAACTGAAATCCATGTACTTATTATTCGTGGTTAAGAAATAAGCTTGGAAGTTTTACATTTTCTTAACATTTTATTAAAGGTTCTTATTATTACCTATCGGTAATATATCGTATCTCAGGAGTCTGACTTCTGACTTTGTTTAAAAAGATACACATTTTAAGTACCATAATTCTGAATGTTTACTGAGCGATCTACAGTCTCGTTCGTAAAGTGATTAAGAGTTCCTTCTGAAACTTAAGGCTATAAATCATATTTTTCCGAATATTGGTTACCTTTTTCTTTAAATCGAACCACTGTGCTCAGGCGGCGGGTGGAGGACGATGAAGAAGCAGATCATTGGCGGCAGAGTCGCGTGCATTAAAGAAAATTGAGTGGAGTGGAGGTGGAAGTTGCCGCCGAAAAAGAGGTCAGTAAGTGAATGTTTACAGTTAGCTTTTTGGGCAGATCAGAGAGAGCCAAATGCCGAGCTCAACAAAAAAAAGCCAAACTGCATATGACAGGCGTGACTCGGCTTTAAGCGCCAGCGCCCAGAACTAATATCCCAAACACGACAAAAAAAAAACAACCAAAAAAGTAAGAAACTAAAAAACAGAAAACCAAAATTTAATTAAAAGAAAGCCAGCCGGAGACGTAAAAACCTTTTGGCAGCCGTGCAGTTTCTTTTTGGCCAAATATTTGACGGCAGTCGCCTGCGGTTGCCAATAAAAATGGAAAGTGAAAATTGCGGCTGCAGTGGCAGTGCATATTAAAAAATAGAAAAAAATAGAAACAACCGTGTGCGAAAAGATGGCCATAATAAACGATAGAAGGCAAGAGCCACGCACCTGTTCTGCTGGTTTTCTTTTCATCTAATCACAGCCTTAGCCTTGCGATCCAGTGCGAGTATTATATAAATGCGAGGCTGTGGAGCCAACGATAAATGGCGGAAATTATATGGCAGGGGGAGAGTTCTCGCCTCTGCCGGAAAAATATATCAAAAACGAATAGTAAACTTTACTCCGACCAGGTTATAACTAGTACTTAAATAACATGATTGTTAGTTTGATACTAAATCATATGCAGTATTAATCCAACACTATTTAATAACAAAATGCATTTTTGAAAATACTTCGTTAGTAGTCTGTTAATAAATGAATACTAGAATTGACATTAGGACATCTCTTCTTCGATGTAATATTTGTTTTTCGATGTAATATCATTTACAATACCAATAATCTTGTTTATTATTCCCTTTTTGCTTTTTTTATTTCCATTTTAAAGTCCGACCCTAACAAAGAAACAAATTTATGTTGTGACTTTTTAAATATGTTTAATTTAAGATTTTTAAAACGTTAATTTGCCAGCGGCGAAAATTGTTTTTAAAAAGTTACTATTTTAAGTAATCTGAAAGCAATGGATCCACGACCCTAATTACATTTCCATAGACATTGTTGCGTTGTAATGTTTGTCGCATACAATCTGCATTACTTTGCCCGTTAAGGAAAATAGTATCAGAGGTGGTAGTAATCGAACACGGCCATTGCTTGTCCTAATTTAAGACCCTTAAACTATACCCTAAATTAATCCCGGATGGTTAATGTTTTTGAATATAATTCGCCATTTTGTAACGTCTTTTTAACAACGGTCAACACTGACGTCACAGCTAAGTGCAACCCTACAAACAGTGTGCCCAGACGGAGACGATTAAGTGGTATTTACTGGCGTTGCAGCCGTGGTCACACCGACATCGCACTCATTGAAAAAGTCGAAAATATTGTGTGGGTTAAAAAACGCAAACGTCGCCGAAACGCGTAGCCCCAAATGCCCACGCCAAGTGCGGAGTTAAGGATAAAGTTAGCCCCCCAAATTGCACGCGTTGAAGATCGGGGGAAAATCGGATAGATAAATATTGTGGATAAGCTAGATAGGGAAAATCACCACTACAACTACGCAGAGGGCACAACCAACAACAACAAGAAGGAGAAGAAGAGGAAGCAGAGGCAGCGCAGTCGGCAGCGCAGCGGCAGAGAGAAAAGATGGCGACGAGAGGCAGTGGAACCCGTGTGCAGTCGCAGCCAAAGATTTTCCCATCGCTGCTTTCCAAGCTCCACGGCGCCATCTCGGAGGCATGTGTCTCCCAGCGCCTGTCCACCGATAAGAAAACGCTGGAGAAGACCTGGAAGCTGATGGACAAGGTGGTCAAGCTATGCCAACAGCCCAAGATGAACCTAAAGAATAGTCCACCGTTTATCTTGGACATCCTGCCGGACACCTATCAGCGTTTGAGGTTGATCTACTCCAAGAACGAGGAGCAGATGCATCTGCTCCACGCCAACGAACACTTCAATGTATTCATCAACAACCTGATGCGAAAGTGCAAGCAGGCCATCAAGCTATTCAAGGAGGGCAAAGAGAAGATGTTCGACGAGAACTCCCACTACCGCAGGAATCTCACCAAGCTCAGCCTGGTCTTCTCGCACATGCTCAGCGAACTAAAGGCCATATTTCCCAACGGGGTCTTCGCCGGGGATCAGTTTCGGATCACCAAGGCGGATGCGGCCGACTTCTGGAAGAGCAATTTCGGTAACAGGTGAGTTTGGTAGTGTGAGACCTGGAATCTACCATGTTTAGTCTCGGCTAGCTGGATATAAAGTCAGTCCTTAGAGTTCAAAGACAAGGTTGTAATTTATTTTTGGTATCAGCAGGCAGAGGAACTTTACGAAAGACCAAGTTCGATATCTAAAGCTATTGCTATTGAGAATATTTAACATTATTAAAGAATATATATATAATATATTTGTAAAGCGCAATAATAATGATAAAATAAATTATGATTTAGATTTTAATAGTTTTTATTGAAATATTGCCATGTTACCTTAACACGTCTTATTCTTAAACCAGTTTTAACCGGCTCATCACTAGTTTACTCTTTCTGTTGCTAAATCTAGTTACTTTAAAAAGGATTTTAGGTGCACTCAATGTATACACTTCTTAATACCGGAATCTTTTTGTTTGTTCGTTCATTGAATTTTGTGAAACTACACAATCAAATACACATGGAAACTTATCAATACTGTGGTAAGAGTCCACAATCAACATAAAATAAGGTTTTGGGGTTCTACTTGTTATCAGTAACGTGTCCCTATTTGATAATATTTGAAATGAAATTGAGATCAATGTCGTTTTATGATTCATTTAAATTCCATTAGTAAAATCTGATAGTATGTTTGAAATTCTACATATCAGAGTCTCGAAACAATGACATTCCACAAATACTTACATTTTCTTCTTTGTATTGCAGCACATTGGTTCCCTGGAAGATCTTCCGCCAGGAGCTGAACAAAGTACATCCCATAATCTCTGGCTTGGAGGCCATGGCCCTCAAGACCACCATTGATCTGACCTGCAACGACTTTATTTCCAACTTCGAGTTCGACGTGTTCA